CATTTAATTACAATTATTGAGTTAATTATGTATATCTAAAATAGAAATTGTTAAAATATTCAATAAAATTTTATCTAACAAAGACACATAAACTATCTGAAGTAAATGGTTCTTCTACTAAAAGTCAAGACTGCAGAGCTGAAGAACACAAAAGAAATTTTACATTTTATTATGACACACTTTTGTACTTTTTGTTTTCTAGATGCTAAACTGATACATATCAGGGTATATATACATTAAATATAATATTTAATCTTCCTCTAGACATAAAGACTTTACACACCAACGGCCGAGCGGTAAAGTTTCTGAACATTTCGATCCGAGATTCAAAAACCTGTGAACAGGCTGGCTGCATGGCCATTTTTCATGGTTTCCCCCATGTGTAAGGTGTATACGAGACAGTTTCCCTTAGAAAATCCTCCAAGAAGGCATTCCTTCCCTTAGGCAGATAGCCCACATTACTTTGCAATACTCACATAAACCAAACCAAACCACTAAAAGACTTTTCAGGTGATATGGATGAAACAAATAAAGCAATACACATTCCATATATTTGTTAAAGGATCTGAATACAAATCTAATTAACAGTTCTTTGTTAAAAAGTAATTATTTTTTTTTTACAATAGGGAAAACAAATAACCTTGCAACCACAGAATTCTAAAGTACTGCCATCTTCAGAAACAATAAAGTAAAATTAATTACTCAAATGGTATGTAGTCGCCTTTATGCATTCAGTATATGTACAGCCTAAGTAGAAAAGAAGTGCAAACAATCAAAATGGCCCTTCAATTTAACTAGCAGATATTTTCCCTATATATATATATATATATTTAAAAAAAAAAAAAAAAAAAAAAAAAAAAAAAAAAAAATCAGAAAGGTTTCAAATTTTAAATAACATCCAAAGGGGCTTTTTTTTTTTTTTTTAACGTTTTGTGTGTTACCTTCATTTATTTAATATCATGTTCTTTGCATTTAAACCATAAAATTAAGTTCAACAGCAATGTCACAAAATAATTTTAAAATGAGCATATCTTAAGAATTTCTGATACACAGTTCTGCGCGTCAGAGATAAAAATATTTCTTTCCCCTTAGGTTACTAACTGAATAATAAAGAATCATTATTTTCCAATGTTTGAATACAGTCAACTCCAGATTATTTGGGGAAGGGCAGACTAACTATGCCCCATATAAAAACAACTTATTTTTATTACAGAATGATGCAAAAATTATTATCACCAGCATAAAACGAAACTGCTTGCAGAAATTACAAAAATGGAAGGTAAAAAAACGTGGCAGCTTAAGCAGTGATAGCCTAGCATTTGAGAAACATTTTTATCCCAAACAATATGCAATTTAAATGTATATAAACTGGATATATAAATAATATTAAATCGTATGTTTAAATGCTCAATGGACTTGAAATAAAGTGCACAGCCATTTAAACTCTTTGAAAATGCAGGTAGATCGTTAGCAGTATTTTTCTGTTAATCTTAATGTGTGTTATTCCCCTTTCCTCTGTTTTTTTAACTGCCTACAGATTAACTATGATTTCGAGTTAAGTGTAGATGTCGTCCCTGGTGTTACCTCAGTTAACAGGAAGCTGACAGTTCTTAGCACCTGAAATGTTTTATATTTAACATTACTAAATAACTGCATTAAACAATAGTTATATAAATCATTTCATTATCAAACAACACAAGTGGACAGCAAAGAAAATATGAGAAATAGAAAATATTTATTAAACCCAATTTTAGTAAATTTTTAAAAAGAACTGAGTGAAGTAGCATGTATAGCATGCTTCTCCCCCTAAAAAAGATAAGAATACAAACACAGAAGAAAAAATAAACCCCACCTGCAGAATTATTTAGCCTTTTGATGGTCAAGAATGAGCTCAGCTCATGTTCCAGTTATGAACTGTAGTGGAGGCAAACAAACCAACTCTTATTATAAATTTATGACCGACAGATATTGTGCATACTTGAGAGGAAAAAACTGCTAGATCTTGCAACCACTGAAGGATTAAATCTTTAGATATGATTCATAAAAAGTGGAAAGTTTCAATATACAATCAAACAATTTTTTTAACATGATATTAAATTCCACTTACTCTTCTTCATAATCCACCATGGATCAATTTCTTCAGCTTTATTATTTTTGCACATGTGCATATTTGAGAGGAAAAAACTGCTAGATCTTGCAACCACTGAAGAATTAAATCTTTAGATATGATTCATAAAAAGTGGAAAGTTTCAATATACAATCAAACAATTTTTTTAACATGATATTAAATTCCACTTACTCTTCTTCATAATCCACCATGGATCAATTTCTTCAGCTTTATTATTTTTGCACACTTTCAATCATATTACATGCTTTCACAATCATGACATCAAAGACATAACCTCTTTGCAATCAGCATTATGCTTCTGTTGTGAATCTTAAATACAAATTGTCAAGTATACATCTAAAAAATTTACTAAGCACACTAGAAATTTATTAAGTAAAACTAAATCGGTGAAAATATTGTTAGAATTAATTTGCTAACATTCAACAACTTATTAAATCTGTATATTACAGACACATGATAAGCCAGAAATTAGATTAAGGATTGCATGAAAATATGCATAAAGAGTGTAGGGGGCGGGGGAGGAATTCTACAGCAGCTAAATACAGGAACTATGAGCTGTTGTAACACTTAAATTGTTGTAATACCTAATTGCTGTTGTAATACCTAAGCAAGAAGAGTTTATGTTGCAACAATCATTAAATGAAATATATACAATTTATAATAAATGATTTGAAAGAACCTCATAAAAATTATACATTGAAATTTTTAAAAAATGTTTAAATCTAGTGGCAATTCTCTATGATGACAAATGCAATCAGAATCATTGCTGAAATTCTGAATAAATACATATGTTACTGTGAAAGACCAAAGAGAACATCAACATTCACTAAGTCACTTAGTGCGCGTCCGGAACACTTGCTAAATATCCTTATTTCTTACAGCCAAATGTCGACATTTCACCATGCATTGATGGTGAATGTTGAAATATATTTCTTCCACACCATCAAGTAAATCTTATTGCTCTTACAAGGAAGGTTTAAAGACCTTCAGCCTTGATCTTTCAAGGTTTATGAAAAAAAAAAAAAAAAAAAAATTATATGCATCAACTCAACTAAACACACAATATTTTTTTCTTAAAAAAAGCTGCTAATATACAGCAGATAACCAAAAAAAAGTACAGAAATTACAATGATATTTGGTAACGCAGTGTTATTTAGCTATTTCCCAGATTTCAGGTGATCAACTCCCAGAATGAAAATCTAACATAATAAAGAAATAGATAGATGCAGAATCTTAATTTGAATGCATAAGCTTCATTTATTTACATTTTATTTACTAGTTATGGCTAGTACCATATTTGTTTTCAGTCAGCGTTTTTTCACTTTTTACAATAGTTCATGTAAAAAGTTGTAGGTTCTTTTTATGATTACGAATTTAATAAGGCTCATGTAAGAAAAAAATATCAAGTTTGGTAAAAAGGGGGATGGCATAATTCAATGAAGTTCTATAAATCACCTTTTCTGGAGAAACATACTTCATACTGCAGGTTCAAGCTGTACACAATACATGTTTCAAGCAATAATCAGTATACTGATTATGGATAAAAATATACAGTGCAGCTGAGGCAAAGGGAAGAAATGATTACAATAAAAATATATATCTTACAACAAGTGCATACACTGAGTTAAATAAAAATACATTGAGAATTTTAGCATCAATAATCAACTGCAACAGTTTGTTTTTCCCTCCATTTAAATCAAACTGGAAGGGAAACGTATCAATGCAAAATTTAAATTAGGCAAATATATCAATCTTAGTTTGGCATTTAATAAAACTATTGATTTCAAGGTGGATCATACATAGATTCCTCTTCTTCAAGAGCACAAAATAAGTAAGTAATAAGCAATCATTAATCTAGTTAAAATATAAAAATTTAACGATTTTTTACTAAAAGTGTAGATAGTAATACAAGTGATGACCATCTGCAACTTGTTCTGGACTTGACGACGTGGCAAAGGTTAATGCTATCAAAAATTATTGTACTTTTTTTTAATGTTTCTGAACTGTATTAGACTGCCCATCACAGACTAATGGCAGTCATTCCTAGGTTTGACAAAGACGGCAGAGGAAGAGTAAAACTGGTGAAACTTTGAAGAAGCAATTTCAATAAAGTATACGAGCTATATTTTTTGCAATGGGAATCATCAAAGTCAGTAGATCATTCTAATTTGCTTTAAAACAAATTTAAAGTAAGTAAATTTCATGTTTTACATTTTTGAAATAAATATATATGCTCTTCATGATTTTCAAAGTATTTAGAAAAGTGGAATTTGCCATTCCAGATAATGCTGAATGAAGCCTACCTGTGATGCTGGTGGACATTAGATTTGAATGACACAATGTCTATTAATTTGAAAGTATTTCTGAAGAGCTAGTGATGCAGAAAGGGCAACATGAGACACATGAATTTTATTTCCTCTCAAATCAAAATTAGAAAAATTCAAGCAGCTGGTTCTCAAATGTGCTCAGCTTTTTATTTCCTTGCGAATCAAAATTAGAAAAGCTCAATCAGATGGCTCATACGTGCTCAGCCTTAATTAAATAATCCAGTGATATTCTTACTATTTTTTTGTTATGCATCTTTTTATCTGTACACTTTACTTTTTATTCAATATTTTGCTTTTAACTGATAATTTAAAAAGAACAATGAAATAATTTACAACATATTACAAATTTTAACAATTTTTGTAACTTTTTAAGATTTATGTTTTTGGTGTGATTTTAAATAATAAGATTCATGATCTACACCATTTAAAATTCTTTTTTTGACTCATTAACAGTCAAGTGATTTTATGAACACGATCATAAACATTAACAGTCAGGTGATTTTAAGTCACTGAACACTGGTAGTTCAATCTGGTTCAAATCATGGCAAACAGGCTGGTTGAATAAAATGCTTCCATGGCTTTCTCCATGTATTATGTGGATAAGACCCATCCTTCATGAAGGTATGCCTCCCCTTAGGCAGAGATCCTTTGCATGCATTTGTTAAAAACAACTCCCAGTCAAAAATCTTTTTTCCTTTCTTAATGATTGATAATTAGTATTTTTAGAACACCGAATTATAGTTTTTACATCAACAAGTAATGTAGATATTCTTGGATCTAATAAGTGAGCATGTTTTAACATTAGAAAAATTATGAAACAAAGACCAATAAAAACTCGGTTTCAGAGAGGAATTTATAACAGTTATGGAAAAGTACTTTTGCAATATTTCATCTTTTTTAAAATGCCGCTCATTTAATAATAAAAGCAAGACAACAAGTAAAAAAAAGATACTTTTCTATGAATAAGAAATAAAAACTTTCACAGAAATAATTTACATGCTACATACAAATAACCCTAACTCAAATATACACTAAATACACCCAACACAAAATAAAACATCATCTTATAAAAAATGCACAGGAAATGGCAAGAAAAGAATTCATACATTGAACATTCCATATTCAATATTCATCCTCTTAAAAATCTCTCTTTATTTTAACATTTTATTTTAAAAATAAGCAAAAAAGGACACTTTTAAAAGTATAAAAAATCTTTCAAATGAAGAATTAGTTACTTCCTACTGAAAAGAAATGAAATAAAGACATTGTATAAGCTCTTACGAGACTAAGTGCTAAAATAATCACTTTTTAATAAAAATTGCACTTAATATACTCCAATTTTTGAGTATATTTATGACTATTATATAAAAATGAACTACCATATTGAAGAATGCAGTGTTTTGTAAAATATACATGTATAAAACAGCTAAGTACAATGCCTCATATTTGCTTTAAACTGAAACGATTTTAACAACTGAGATAATAAATTGTAATAAAAGTCTTATGTTTTACACAGAATGCACCACACAATCTTTGTGAGATTTCGGTAGGTGATGATTTATAAGGCTTCAGGTAAAACCTTTAGAAATTCAGTATCAATAAACATTCTATACATTTTAAAATACAGTTGACTCTAAACAGCACGAGTTCAGAGCAAGGAACCATCGTGTAGTTCAAAATCTACATACATGGAACACACCAGACAATTACTGACAGCCCATTATAGACTGGAAGTCTTAATAATGATATAGTAGTTAATTAATACACATTGTTATGTATGTTAGGCAAATTAGACACTGTAAACTTATAATAAAAAAAGGTAGGAAAAAATTCTGAGAGAAATCATACAGAAAATACATCTATATTATATTTTATGTCATCAATTTACAAGTTGAATGTGTATCACTATCGATTTCCACATTTTACTGTATGATTAAAATATAGATAATGATACACATATTACTATCATTTAATATAAAAATAAAAGTTTTTTTTTTTGACAAAGCCTATATTTCATGATAAGTAAATAAAAAAGTAGACTTGTATATACATTTTTAAAAATATTTCTATGCACATGGTTCATTTAATTTTTTCAAGTGTATTAAAATCTCAAATTTCCATTATATTTATTAAAATGAATTCATGTGTAAACACAGCTGTGTAGTTTACCAGTGCTGTTACAGGATCAACTGCATTATTAGACATCTCTGAAAAATAAATACAAAAACAAAATTCATGTAAATTTTATTTATACTGATCACACAAAATGTTTAGCTTAGAGGTCTTTTGTTTTTCTTTTCTGAATTAATATTAAAATTAATAATTTAATAATTAAAAATATATTAAATCAATATTTTTCAAAATTATTTTCTTTTACACAGATGAATACTGAAAAACTATGAGATGTGCTGAAATATATTCTACTATTAAACAAAAAGACACAATAAAGTCTGTTTAAACATTAATTTTAAAAAAGAAAACATTAATTTAAGGCATAAATATCAATTACTCTAAAAAAATTTAACAGTGCAAGTTTTTCCATTTCATGTCTGTTGGAAGGTGCAACAGCAACAAATCCATAGTTGAATTCATAGACATAAAATAGAAATATCAAGGCTTGAAAAACAAAAACTGATAAAATCTTTTAACACATTGACTGCTGTGGGGGGGGGCACTGGTAGCCAGCACTCAACTTGGCTACAGCACCAAGGGGGCACCGGTGACGCAACCAATAGTAAAAATACATGATTAGAGTAAATATCGATACTGATAATTTTTTTTAAATAATACGATTGTTACTATAATGGTTTGAAGAATAATAAATCGAAAAAAATGGTCTACAGTGCCTCGGGTCACAGGTGACCCCACCACGAAAAATGCAATAAACACAATTATATAATTCAACTTATCTTCTGTAGATAATATTTCAACATAACATACATTGCATAATAAAAAATTCATGTTGGCGCCATGGGCAAACCACGTAAAATACGCATGGCAGTCAATGAGTTAATACTATGTGATAATATTAAAAGATCACATAAAAATTGCAATAACTATTAAGTGCATAATCTGTACTTCAAAGAATACAGAAATTAATGTCCTTATTTGAAGCACAGTTTATTCAATTTCTAAATATTCACAAAACAATAATATAAAATGATATATATTTTGCTTTAATTTTTTTCTAATTTGTATGAAAATGCTTATCACATATTACAGTTTCCTTAATTATCAACACAAATATTTAAAATAAATGTGATACATTTCTTAATAAGGAAAGCAACACAGCTTGTTCAAACATATATTAATATATAGGCTAAAAATCTAGAGAGCTCATTTTCGGCCCCCTCCCAACTGCTGAAAAGTATTTATGCAAAAAACCATTCTAAAAACTTGGAGAGACATCTAACAGTATCTACACAACACAACTAACTGACAATACACAAAACATGCACATGAAGTGTCGATTCTAATATGATGTATTCTAAAACTATGGATATGAAATGATGATCTTCAAGTATGGAAGAAAGCTGCATCAAAGAGACATTGCAAGATTAAACAAATTTGCCATCTAAGAGTCACACATTCACACACATACATGTTGAACTTTGATTATGAAGTAAACAATACAGGAGCAAAAAGAAACCTTTTTCAAATATCTATCAGTAACAAATAATTGCAAGCTTAATGATAAAATCTGCCTATTTACAGGAGTAAATTGGTTTTAAACCAACACCATTTTCTATTAGAAATGTACTGTCTCTATATAATAAACCATAATACGACTTCTTTTATAATTATATATATGAAAGCTGCTTCAATGACAAAGCAAAAGAGAAAAATGTTGCTTCATTAAATAATGAGTTTAGTGAACAAGACTAAGCCTTTAACTACATTTTATTTTAGGATGCCTTGAACAGCTAAATTCGTTAAAACAAAATTTTCAAAATGTAAATTATGGAAAAAAAGTTAATCTCAAATTAATATGACACACACAATATCAGAGCAGTGCCAAACTTAAATTCATTGAAGAATCTGAAAAATTTCACTAATTTGTTATCACAAAAAATAGGGCTCATCCATGACTAAGTGGATAAGACCAGAACTTGGTAATGTATGTCAGGTTTTGTTCTTGATAATGAACAAGCTGGCTGTAAGAAATTTTTTCCATGCAACATGAATACACACACTTTTTCCTTTAGAAAGTTCTCAATAATGGCATGTAACCCAAGGGTGAGAGTTCTAAAATACTTTGCAGTGATAAATAATATAACTAAAAACAGTTAAAATTATTTTCATAAAAATGAAGAGCTGATACTATTTAGGAAAATAAAAATTATGCATTTAGGCAGAGAAACTTACAAAATTCAAACATATTTAATAACCAAATTAATCAATTAACCAGTATGTTACATCCCTGTTAATTTCAACAAATATTTAAGGCAACATTTTTTTCTTCAAATAGAAGACAGTACCTTTATTTTACATTTTGTACTATAACACTGCTGCTGAACAGGAAAACACTCCACATAGTTCGATGAGTAAAATAATTACCTGCCATCAAAATAATAGCAAGGAGATTCTACATTTTACAATGTAAAAATATGAGCATTTTATGCTATATTTTTATAACACAATGAAAATGAGCATATGATACAAAAATAAATATTTGCATCATTAATTAAGACATTAAGCACTTTCAAACATGGCTATCAATGTTGTACAATATTTAGTTTATACATCTCACATTATATATTTACAAATAACAAAACTCACTTTACCTCAACACAATTATTAAAATCAACTATAATTTTTTTAAACAATTCAAACTGTAAATTTCTGAAACTATAAATGTAAAAAAAAAAAAAAAAAAAAAAAAAAAAAAAAAAAATTAAACCAATTTCAAGTAATTTTTTAACAAAATATTTCATTTTGTGGGTAGATCAAACACCAATAGGGCATGTATAAACACTGGGAAGAATAACGAAATAGTTTAATTTTTAAGGAACAACATACCTCAAGATTAACACAGGATGAAAAACTAAAATGACTAGGCCAATTCATTATTCATTACTTCTGTCCATTCAATAAAATTTTAGGACTATTTGAATATAACAAAACAACTAAATAAATGGGTATTTTTCATTTTTTTTTTTTTTTACAAACTTTGCATAGATAACCTTCCTTGCATAGTTCCATCATGAATTCAGCTTTCTTCCACACAAGTATAGATAAACTATCTGATTTATGATAACATGCATATCACTTTAATAAAGCATATGATGCAATACAGCTTCAAGAGAAGCCAATGACGGTATGACATAAAATGATGAACTTGAATGAATCAACACATATAGTTGTTCCAGTGGAATTATCTGACTTTTTATTGTGTATAGATGCAAATTTGTATGGTCAGAAGATGTAGATGATAATGATTTTTTGATACACCACACTGTTTTGAACTTCATGAGTCAAATAACATCAACAGCAATCACTCAAACTTTTTTCCCTTTTTTGTTCTTGGCTGCTTTTCCCTTTGCAAACCTTTTCATTTTTTCACCACTTTCATAGTCAGAACCAGAGTCCACAGGTTTATACTCATCCGCAGAATCATCATTCAGGAAACTATCGTTTAAGTCATAGCTGTCAACGTCATCACTATTTCTGGAACTTTTTGTTTTCTTATCTGAAAAAGTAAATATGAAAGGTTTGGAAAATTTTTTAATCAATAAAAGCAATTTTTCGTACAGATTTGATCTAATAAACATACTAACATAAATATATATATATTTAGCTTAAAAAGTTAATTTTAAGTATTTTCTATGTTAATGACTCATATACTGGAATTACATGCTGTACACTAATCATATATTTTTATTTCAAAATTCCTCTACAGTGGTAACTGCATACAAATATGGAGTAATTATCATTAAAATAGGAATTTTTTAATCATAAGTTAGCAACACTGTAACATGTGTCACACTGTGCAACATATGAAATTATGTGAAAAAGTGAAACTTTCTTGTGCAGTGTTTCTGCACAAGAGAGTTTGAAGTTATTCATTGAGCTGGGTAAAGTATCATGTTACTATGAGCTGTGCTGGATGCCACTTGATGACTTCGTGAACATTCACACAGAAATGGCAGTCATTTACAGGATACTATTTTCAACATTAACCTACCCTATTCTTCAGTGGTATGTACACCTAGCACACACATACACAAAGGGACAGTTCTATATATCCGGGGTTCTTGGCTTATCCCATCTTTTAGTTACCCTCTTACAAATTATTTTTTTAAATAATTCACATCTCACACATGACATGTGTTTTCACATCTCATATTATATATTTACAAATAACAGAACACACTCCTACTCAACACAATTATTAAAATCAAGTATAATTTTTTAAATAATTCAAACTGTAAATTTCTGAAGCTATAAATCCTCTTACAAAAAATGTTTAAATAGCTAGTTTTTCCTCATATTATTCCAGATAATTAAAAGAATATGCTTTTTAATGCATCAGTTATTGGTCTTAAAAATTGTAAAATTTATATGACTAGTGCAGCATGTCAACTATTTCAACAAACTGGTTTACGATAAAGGAAAAAACACAGCAGTAGCATCATAGGTGAATATGAAGGGTAATTGGTTTTTGACAGAAATAGATGTATAAATTTAAATTACACCATGTGATATCTTTTAATTTTGTAATCTCACTCCATTGCATATCAATATGCCTCTTTTAAACTACCTCCTTCATACATGTAAAACTCAATTTCCATTTGATCAAGATAATTTTCATCAATAATGGATATGGAAAGTATTCACCAAGAAATGAACAGATGGAAATTAAACTTTAGTTATCAAGTTAATGTCAGCAACTTCAGCATGTTTTAGAGGCAGTCATTTAAAAGAAATTTATTTATTATAAATGTACAGACAGTTACAAAAAAAAAAAAAAAAAAAAAAAAAAAAAAAAAAAAAAAAAAGTTTTTTTTTCAATTTATGTATATAAGGAGTTTGTTGCTGCAAGTTAGTATTTAGTTATAAACAAAGTATTCTGCAAAAATAATATATACACAAATCAGTGACAGATGATCGTACATTTTTTTAATGTTTTGCAATCTCTTTCCTTCATTCTCACTGTTATTTGGTTGATTACCAGAAAAATCAATCTGAGCATTACTGTTCCAAAATTCTTGTTATACACTCTGAAAAGAAACAATTACAGTAGACTCCCGATTATCCGCGCCTGCCGCACAAAGTCCTCCCCTTTTTTTACAAGCGTAAAAGCAAAGAAAATAAAAATGTTCACAAAACTGAGCGAAACGTTCAATTTGCTAACATCGTGCTTATTTATGGCAAAAATATCCCAGGCCTTCTCGGAACCTTCCCTTTCTGATGAGTAAGTGATTTCTTACTCACCCTTGCAGTGCCTGCTCCACCGTTCTCTCTCGTCTTAGTGACACGTCCACTTCCTCCCCCACTCGCCATTGTTAGTTTAAGCCTGATAGTGTTTGCGAACTGTTCGGAGTTAATTTCTTATCTTTCATTGTGTTCAGTGCTTGTGCTTTTTGATTTTGTGTTTTTAGTTACCGATTTAAAATGTCAGGAAAAAGAAAGAAGGTTGTGTTGACGATTGTGCAAAAACTAGAATTAATTTCCAAAGTAGCAAATGGCACTATAAGGCAGCAGATGGAATTGGATTACAGAATATCAGAAACAACAGTGCGTGACATTCTAAAGCAAAAAGACAAACTGGTGAATTTTGCATCAATGTCGGACAGTGCTTCCGCAATGAAAACGCGAAAAACTATGAAGGGTTCTCTACCTTTGATGAGCTAGACACGGCATTGACAGAGTGGTTAGCTCAAGTTCGAAAAGAGGGTACTCCTGTAAATGGTCCTATCATTGCAGCGAAGGCAAAAACCTTTTTTGAGTTGTTAGGCCTGAAAGGATATTTTCATGCGTCTTCTGGCTGGTTGACTCGTTTTAAGCAGAGACATGGAATTCGAGAAATTGAACCATATGGGGAGAAACTTAGTGGTGACCAAAAGCTGACAATTTCCACCATGAATTTGTTTTAAAAGAAGAGCTATCTTTTGAACAAATTTACAATGCCGACGAATCGGGACTTTTGTGGAAATGTCTTCCCACTCACACTTTAGCATTTGAAAGTGAAAGTAAAGCGGCGGGTCATAAAAGCAGCAAGAAAAGGATCACTATCATGTCTTGCAGTAACGCTACCGGTGGGCATAGACGTGTTGTCATTGGAAAGTAAAAAAAAAACGAGATCTTTCAAAGACACAAGGATAGAAAATTTGCCCATTGATTACTTTAACCAAAAAAAGGATGGATGAACCAAAGCATTTTTCAAGAATGGTTCGAAAAAATCTTTGTTCTTCCAAGTGCGTAAACATCTTAAATCGAAAAACCTGCCTTGAAAAAGCTGTGCTATTGATTGACAAAACGCACCTTCTCACCCAGCAACAAGTGTGCTAAAGTTTTCTGATGGACAACTTTTTGCAAAGTTTCTCCCTTTAAACGTTACTGCGCTAATCCAACCCATGGACCAAGGAGTCATTGCAACAATGAAGAGAACATTCCCAACCAAGCTGCTAATGACCAAAATTGAAGAAGGTTATGATCTGAAAGAGTTTTGGAAACGCTACACAATCTTAGCAGCATCTATGACATTGCATCTGCATGGAACTCAGTGAAACCGTCAACAATCATAAAATCATGGAGAAAACTCAGGCCTAATGTTAGCCAACAACAACCTAACCCCTTTGAGTTGTGAAGAAGAGAATGAGCACGTAGACACGCCCACGGCAACTCTTGCCGATATCGTGAAAGCATTAATGAGTTGTTGGAGTGTGACGTCAACGAACCTGGCTTCGAACGCTTGACAGATGATGAAATTATGAAAAAAGCAAGGGGAGAGACCGAGAATGAAGGACAGCGAAGTGAAGGCAAAGAAGAGCCTACTGTGGAGATGCGGAAGACTCACGAAGGGGCTTTGCAGCAAGTCGACAGACTGCTGAGCTATTTGGAAGAACAAGACGACACAGAGTTGGCCGAGAAACTTATGCTACGAAAAATGCAATTTCGGATCAAGAGAAAATGCTTCCAAAGCAAGAAGCAAACACAAATGACTGATTTCTTCAAAAAGGTGTAGTTTTACAGTTATGCTTTTGTAATTACATAATACATTACAAAATTAAAACAGTACATACATATTAATTTTTCTGTGTATCCTTGATGCCTCTCGTAAGTATGCAAAGCACTTTTCTGTTTTCATTAACAAAATGCATTTTAGGTTAGTTTCGAGTGATATACTAAAATATTAAGCGTTACTTAAACATTTTCCTGCTGTTTATTTTACGTTTTATTGTACATAAAATGAATTTTCAAAGTTGGAATGACTGTTTTCTCTTTTGCTATACCAGTTTTTAGCTTTTTTCGGATTATACGAGATTTTTGTTATCCGCAGCGGCCACGCCACACATTCCGCGGATAATCGGGAGTGTACTGTATCTTATACTAAATTAAAAAATTTTATGAGATTTTTCACCTTGTCTAAAACATTTGTTGAGCAACCTGTGCTTCCATTTTGAATTTTCCTCAAAATAAAAATATGCAAATCTATTAACAACATTTCTATTTCTGAGAAAATTTACTTTTCAGCAGCTTCCCCCCCCTCCCCCCTGTTTATATGCCAGAGGTAACATGGAAAATCTCAGATGACTATATCTGGTTGATCCATTTTGATAACACACAACTACTTTACATTTTCCCAATATATGACTACCATTGTCTGAAGAAAATGATAAACAATTTTCCCAATCTAAATCTTTGCAGATAAAGTATTCATTTATACAATAAAAAAATACCATCTCCAGTATTATTCATGCATTATAAAATAGAAATCAATGGAGTAATTATCACACCCTTTTCTTTTGTTATAATGAAAGGGTATAGCTTGTTACCATTACTTCCATCAGCACTCAGAGCAAATCATGTATTGTAAAGTGAATTTACAATATTGGTAGCAGTATAGTCTGCAAGTGTTTTTACAATTGCAGCACTTTTGGTGTTTATTTATTTATTTATTTGCTATGGCAGAATCGACAAACATTGCATTAAAAAGCTGTTCTGAATGGTCCGAATCAGTAGATTACGCTAAGTTAAATTGAACAAAATAGCATTCGGCTTTTATGGTATCCGTTTCATCACCTTTCATGAAAATTTTTTTACTTTTTTAGATTTTACAGTGCCAATTTCTTTATGCTTTTGAGAGAGCATGCATGGAATTTAATGCATGGAAATTCTGAAGAATATGAGAATCTTTAAATTCCTGGCTCGATAATTTTAGTCTCATAATTTGAGGTGGCATAATTCACAAAAACTTTCATCTGGATCACAATTTACAAGATACACATGCTACAGTCTCGCCATAATCTAAACAAATAGAACTGAAATAGTATAAAAAAAAATTGCTCATTGCAGAGAATCAGGTTACAGAGATTAATATTTGGTGTTTACTGATTTATTATTGGCTACTCTTCGAAACCAGCAATGCACTCAACATTTCATACATGATATCATAAGCATTCAGCTAGTCAATGGATGAATTAATTGGTTCTTCTTATGCTCTCTTTCTGTAAAATCCTTTATTTTTTCCATTAATTCATTTTTAACTCGAAGTTTTTCAGAAACTTCCATACAAACTACAGAGAATCCATAGCAGTTGGAATCTATGAATACAGTACAAAGAGATCCAGAATTACTGGGACAACTCTAGATTTTGAAACTTTCTGGATTTTAGATCATCAGTTTAAATTTAGTAAGACGACATGTAGAAATTATAAAATGAATATACTTTATCAATACTTCTTTAAAAAGATCTATTTTGCATAAATAAAATTATTTTCTGAATTATTACCATGCAAAATTAAAATCTGATACTAAGCAAAAACAGCAATATTTTTTTGGATTTAAAACCATACTACTCGTATTCAGCATTCTGTTAACTGATTGACGACTGAGGCATTGTCACTGCAATGCAAGACTTCAGTTATTCCATTAATAGGAAAATTTCACGTTTACTTGCTATATCCTAAAACCTTCAGATTCATGGCTGTCATCATTATGGAATTTGATAGCTGGCTATAAATTATACAGCATCTTAAAAAATATCTGCAAGCATCTCATGATCTTGCAATGCCCCACAAATCAAATTTTATATTAAAATACTTCTAGAGTTCTTGAGGGTCTTACTCTATCATCAGTTTTTTAAAAAGCCACATTATATTTTTCTTTTGGTGTGTACGAAATTCACACAGTTTCAGAAAAAGAGTAAATGGAGACATTATCATTTACTAAAACTCATTACTAAAACTAAATTTGAAGTTTTGAAAAAGTTAATAATAGGTGCAGCAAAATAATAAGCTGTTTCAAATCAGAAAGTTAAGAGAAAAGTGCAATTTGCTGTGCTAACTAAATTTAAGTTCCATGCAATATCTATTCTTTCTCCTTTCCCAGCTGCTATGCCAGCAAAAGAAAACCAGAATGAGTAACATTTCATTTCACCCTGCGTAGGAGGTTAATTGTTTTGATTAGGTCAGGTAGAAAAATGCCGATGTCCCCAAACACTCATGCATCAACAATGTGGTTGTGGCTAATATCAACAAATACATTATCATTGGCCAAGGTGTGATTCCCTGATCAGATATTTAACAGTGATATATGGAAATCTCAGTTAGTCATGAGAAAACTCACATTTACGGCACATTTCCTTTTTCTTAAGTATTATATTGTGCATTTCTAAATTTTGAAAACATATTAAAAAAAAAAAATAAATAAATAAAAAATAAAAAAAAAAATTGGGGGGGGGGGGGGGGGGGGGGGGGCGCAGAGCGGGCTATTAGTATAGATCAAGAATTCCCAATCTCTTTTTTGTATTGACACCTTTTAAAAGAAAGGTTTTCTTCATGGAACCCTTCATATTTTTCTCTGTAATATACACTATACAACATAATACAGTCAAAAGTCTTTAATCCAAACTCGTCGGGACTTCAGCAATTCCGGATTATAGATCAACAATTTAAATCTGGTAAGATGGCATGCAGAAAATATAAAATTAAAAATATGAAACCATAATTTATGAAAAAAGAGCAATTATGATCTAAAGAGTATCAAAATTTACAAAAAAAAAAAAAAAAAAAAAAAAAAGAGAAGAGCTTTATATTCATTTGTTTACTTTATTAAACATTTCTTTCAACATGCGCATGCGTAAAGCATACATTGCGCATAGTCGAAATTAGAAAATTGCAACCAGAAAACTATTTGATGTGTATTCGTGATATTTATAATGATGAGGAATTTGATTTAAATCATATCAATGACGGAGTACATCGAGATGAAATACTACATTTAGTAAGGAATTATAAGCCGAATAAAATAAAAACATCTGCCCTGAAGATAAGGATACTGCTGACAGATCAACTTAAGTTCATTGCGTGCCGCCACGTTCCCCCTCCCCCCCAGAGCAGCGTGAAATTGATAAACAGATTTCGGAATGGTTAGAGAAACAAAGGATATGCCTTTATCCATTTTTTGCAGCAATTCCACTTTTTGTTTGATGGACACTGAAATATGCTTTCACTTTGTAGATCCTTTGGCAGCTCCAGAATCGGAAATTCTTTTTGACATAACCGAAAGTTCAAGCTTACTTTTATAAAATTGCTCCAACAGTCTGCAAAAAATAATAAGCCAGATATAATTTGAAGATTAAGGAACAACACAATCTGCAACATTAACTGAAATAGACTTTGAGGTTCGGATTATGGACATCCGGATTAAAGACTTTTGACTGTAATACACATAACTACATATAAATAACTTAACCCGTTTGGTATAGGCGTGCCATATATGCATCCGCAGCGAACATTACCTCACGGCCGGGTGTGTCATATTTGAATTGCCATTTAATTCACTGTATGGCCGGGCGTTCCACACATGACTTTTTAGATAGAGCGTTTAATTAGTATTTTTTGTTGCAACTAGATGTAGCTGTATGTCTGTTATGGGGGAATATATCGAAAGTTAAGTATGTGTACCTTCATTTTATGCAATATTTTTTACTTTTTGTATTTTGTTTCAGAATGAGAGGGAGATTCGTGGGTGTCAGGTTCTCGAAGCTTTGAGGTACTTTTTATTTTTATTTTTGGGATCTAGGTATCTGAATATACACAAATGCTAATTTGTAGGTGTTGAGTAATGTGATGGCTAATACTTTTTAATTTAATTTATTTATTTTATTTTTTTATCCCCGTATAGTGGAGTAGATGCTCTATCATTAGAGACTTTTTTATTACTGTTAGATTTTTCCAGCACTGAGACGAATATTTTGTATGGCTTAGCATACAGTACAAGTTTTTTTTTTTTTTTTAAATGTTCTATTGCTGGTGTTCTATTTTTTTAATGGCAAAACGAAAGTGCTATCTGACCGTACAAGATACAAAAATGCTAAATGTGTCAAATTTGCTGCTATTCTATTCCTAAGATATTTGCAACGTTGGACTTTGCGTACACCCATGTTTCAAAGAATATCATACACTGTCTCCCTTTTTGTTGTTTTCACATTGAATTTTTATGAAAGACAGTTTTAATATGTTTTAATTTTAATTATGTGTTGTGTTAAATAAAATCTGCGATTGTTTGGATATTTTTTCATATATATTTAATTGTGGGATAAAGGAAAAATTATATTATTCTAGGATGAGTATTTTATAAAATTTTTAAGGAAAATATAACAATAAAGGTTTAAAATTAATTCTGACTACTACCTGAATGTTCTCCTCATAATGTACCAATAATTGGAACAATTTGATGACAAATTTAATTTATACGAATTTTTTTTAAGTTACGCTTAGCAATGAGAATTGCCCATCCCCACAAAACTGCATATCTAGTTAACACGCCGTCCCAAAAGAATGCTTCGGTGACAGAGGTGGCCGTCGTGAACGGGTTAAAGGTAACAATTAGAACAAGAATATTAATAAAGGTTTATTGAATTTACATTATTTATTTTTTATATTATTATTTTATTTTAATAAGTTTTCAGAAACAAAATCACAGATTCTAATTCCACAAAAATTCAATTTTAATGAATGCAATGTGCTTGATGTATTGATACAATCTTTTTTAAAAAAATATTTGGCATAAAACTGCGTAATTAATTTTAAATTACCTAGTTCAAAATTATTCAATTTGTTATTTTTGTGTTTTTATATTTTCTGTTTTCTTTTAATTTCACTTATAGCATAAAAAATTTTATATTTAAAAAAATTATTATTGATTTTAAAAACATATTAAACAAGTTCGTGCATTTTTAACCTTCCATTTATTTTACATGATTTCTCCATTATTACGACACAGCTTTATACTGATAAATAATTATGAATTTTATTAATACACTGATTTTGTAATCAAAAAGATCTTGATTACACCAATAAACTGCCAGTACATATTAGGTTATCGACCCCTTGATTATCATTGATCCCCCTTTAAAGTCTCATGAAAGCCCAGGAGTCATTATCACCCCCATTGCGAACCCTTGGTCTCATACAAGATTATTCTAGATATTGGACATCTGAACTTTGGACTTGGTGCTGTATAAAATTAAGAAAAATATTTTTTACAACAAATTTCCATCAGGGTATAGCATTAAACACACATCAACCATTCTGCACAATTATTACATTATCACTTTATTTTGCTAATCTTTCATTAATTTTTATACTAAAATACTTTAAATTTGAAAATCATGTATAACAATTCCAATAACAAGGGGGTATAACATATTCAGGGTGTCTCATTAAGTCTGTAAATATTTTAAAAATAAAAAAATAAAATAAATTAAAAAAAAAATGAAGGAATTGGTAGAATTGAATACGTTTGCAATAAAGGAGGATTATTTTTGGTAATTTGGGGGGGGGGTGAGAACAGTTAAAATTTTCATGGATAGAGGGTAAAGTATGACAGAAAATCACATACTTCAAGGAAAACTATTTGCATGCAAGCAAATGTTTACTAGCATATCACTCTATGTGTCTGCCATAAATTACAGTTTGCAAGCAAGTTATAACACCCTTAACTGCAATGAAGATGGTAAATTAGTCTTTTATTTTATTCAGGAATTGATGATTTCCAGACATACATCTGGTTTATAATTTATCTTAATTTGCTAGTCAATTAGGATAACAATTTATTATTTACCTCAAGCTAGCAGCCATTCTGTTGTATTGCAATTTAATTTTGTAAAACCATAGTGCCAAAATTTTTCAGTTGCTGTTACCAAGTTTTTGTTGTAAATTATTACTATTTACCGACAACAACATGCCAAGTTAGAGCAAAAGGCAAAAAAGATTTTCAAAGAAATGGTAACATATCACACTTTAAAACTGGGACAGACATGAAACTGTCCTTTACTTTAATACACACACACACATATATATTCTCTTGGAACAAAGAAAAATAAAAAGAAACAATCTTTAAACATTACTTTTTAAAACTGCTTTTACACCATTTCCTGTTCTATAGAAAAGGGGGGAAAAAACCATGCTTCACATGAAATTGAGTTTTTAAATACAATTATCTTACCAGCCTGCTTAGCGGCTTCTCGTTGTGGGCGGACTTTTTTTGTATGCTTAAAATCTTTCTTATGCTGGGGATTTTTCCTAGGAAGTAAAAGAAAATTATTATTTTCATAAGCAGAATCCACCCTTTCCGAAATCAACTTTACTAACATTCAGAAATGTACAATTCAAGATAGCAGCCAAAATATAATCATGCAACTAATTGTGATTGTAAGTTACATACCATACTCTTTACTTTCCCAAAACTCGAACATAAGCATACATGTTTCTGTCATAGTTAAGAATAACATTTACTAATTTGTTTTTTACACATGCGCAGCTGTCTTTAATAGTAAAAAATTAATAATATCAGTGTTACATTCTAAATAATTTGGAGGGGGGACACTTTCTCTAAATCAAAACTATGTTTACTTTTGAAACAAAATACCAAATACAATAAATTTATTGATTGCATTTATGGACAGCAAAAACAATCGTATCTTCAAATATGGATTACTAATAAGGAATATGATCTGCATGTTAGTGATATATGAACCCATGCACTAAGGCAATAAAGAGTGTTCTTTTGATACTTTCTTGTGCATCTTCGCATTTTCTCTCAAATGATGACAAAAATTATTAGCAGATGAAGATATTTCAGAGGACATTGCCCCATTACATTAAAAATTTGATAATTTTAATATAACAGATAAATTTAAAAACTAGACAATTATTCTTGTTCACATAATCTTGCAGTTCAAATCTGTTGACAAGACAGTTGGACAAACAAACCAACAAAATCGTGTACTATTATGCGAGATAAAACCAACATCTTAATACTCTGAAGAAATATAACAGAACATTCAAGTTATTAGATATTTCTCAATTTCTAAACAGTCAAAATATACTATTAAATAAAAGACAAAATCAAAAGTGATCAAGGAGATGGATTAGGAGCACACTACATAAACATTCAGCTCAAGGCATAATTGATTATATGGCATAAGAGAAAATAAACCATCCTAAATATTTCAGTACATTATTTATAAAGCTGAAGATACAGCAAGCTATTATTATAAAAAGCCAGGTCCCCAAATATTGCCTATATCAAACATTATTAAATAAAATAATATAGCACATAATGCAAAATAACATTAACCTGGCAAATTTAGCTTACATAAATCCATATTATATAACACAAATTCTATAACTTCCTCTGTTACCTCCGGCATCTATTTCTTAAAACATTTGTATCAAAGGCCAAAACAGTCTATAAAGTCTGTCTGGGCCATACATCAATCACACTTGACAAAATTATAACTAAACTGCTTGAGTTTGATTAAAAATTAAATAAAATAATGTTTCAATAAACATAAAATAAACATTTACAGGTAGCAAAAAATGTAACGTAGGTAATGTTCTCTCCCCATTGTGGACTTTTTGAGAAATTAGAGAATATTTCCTTCTTGCTGTTCACGATCACTCCCAATCATATGGTATTAAGCCCAAGGCATGCGGAAAAAATTAGCCAAAATACATTTTAATCAAATGAAAATTTTACGGAGAAAAGTTAGTCTTGCTGTTTTTACTGATCTTAACTAGGCTAGACCAGATCCATGAATCTAACAGCCATCAATATTTCCAAAACGAAGGTAAGTCTTTTCAACAGGTTCTTCTTACGAGTCCCAAACAGGTGAGAAGATGTCCAGGAGTGAAATTATTAGTATTACTTTTCCTACAGATAGGGTAGATCTTATTTCCCCAGTCACATTTAAGGCATTTTAGGTGTCTGCTTAGGAGCGTTGCCAACTGCTGAGCATGATTACCCCTAAAAGCAATAGCACCTCCCAGCCGCCTGCCAAAATACCAGCCATGAGGCAGAGGAGAATGCCAGGAAGAGGCAACAGTAGATTTAATTCTTGAGCAGATCTTCAAAAAGGTCAGGGTTCCAGTGCTCAGAGTCATTGAAATACCTTCCTTAGCCAGAGCATCAGCCATTTCATTACCACTAAGGCCAATATGTGAATGGATTCCCTGCAGATATACATCATAACAGGAAGAGTGTTTTTGCAGTAAAGCCAAAAGAGAGTGAAGTCTTATCACTAATGCAGATGTTGAATAGAACTGTGACTGTCAGTCAAAATTCAGATAGCTTTGTATGCAGTGCAAGTGCATGCATTCTTAAGACCCTTTTCAATGGCTATAAGCTCAGAATGAAAAAAATAGAACAGTGATCAGGGTTCTTAAAGTCAAAGCTATTAATAGGTGTTCTAATGAAGACTATACTACTGCAATTTCCATGTTCATTTTCACTGGCAAGGGAATAATTTTCCATAGCAATCTGCCAAAAATAATCTGGTAAATTCTTTTTTGGGGGGTGGGGAAGGGTAGTTTTTAGGCCTGTGTGAAAACAGATGCCAGGAAGTTCTTTGAATGGGTTGATAGTAAGTTTCAGTGATTATCTCCTAACAGTTGTATCTATTAAACCCATGAAATAAGGGAGGGAAAGGAGGGCTGTTTCTTTTCAAACTTTTACTAGAAACCCAATCATGTAGAGCAACGGTTATGAGTACCATAAGTGTACAGTTTACTAAAGTATTTTGGCAAGTCTCTTCCTGCCCTTCAAAAAGGTTTTCAATGTGTTTATTACTCAAAACCTCTGAATCAAGTGTACAGCCTAAATATTTAGGATGTTTAATATATGGTAAAGACTGATTCTGCATAACAATATGTGGATGATAATTATATAATTTTTGATTATTGGTAAAAAGATCACAAAAGATTTAGAGACGTTAACTGTATTTTATGGCGGGTAGAATTGATATTATTTTCAATCTCTCTAATATCTGGATCACAGTTCCATAAAATTAGATCATCAGCAAATAGTCCAGTTTCACATCTCTGGATAATAACTGCCTCAATCCCTGCGGACTACAATAAGAATAATACGGGACTCATCACAGAGCCTTGAGGCAGACCCTGCCTTAGTCTCTAGAATACAATTCATTAAGATTGATAAAGAAAGATATGCCCCTCAGAAAATCTTCAACCCACGCAAGTGCCTTTCCATCAAAATAAAAAAGGATCAAATAGCTTTACCATCAGCTTATTAATCCAGACTTGATCAAAAGCTTTTGTCAGGCGTGAAAACACTGCCACTGTGTGGTTAGAGTGGATTTCAAGCTATGTGTCCAAAATACAGGATTTGATCCCAAATCTGATTCTTTGTCCAAAATATAGAATTTGATCAACAGCAGAGTGTCTCCACCTAAAATCGTATTGCTCTCTCGGCAATAAATCATTATAATCTAAGTAAAATGTCAGTCTGTGTAAAATCATTTTTTCCATTAGCTTACAGGGAAAAGTACTCAATGTAATAGGTTTAAAACTGTCGGGCAATCTGGCTCATTTATTAGGCGTTCTAATTGGTGCAATGAGAGATTGAGGAAATTTTCAATCTTGAGGAAGTCTACCTAGCTTTCAGGATTTTTTAAAAATTTCCAAGAGAGACTCTTTACCTCTAAGGCTAAGATTATATATAATTTTTACCATGAATATTGTAGGACTAGGAGATTTAGACAGATCAAGTTTCTTAAGGTACTGTCCATTTCTTCCAGCATGAACTTTCTATTGAAAATGCCCTCTTTATGTATATGGCAACTATGAAAAACCAGTTAGCAACTAAATTAACAATTACAGTACAACTCCAATTATCCAAACTCTGACTATCCGAATAGATTTCAGAATTCAAGAAAAAAAAATTAAGATGGAAACTTTTCGGCTTTCACCATGGCTTCTAAAAGAAAAAGATGCCTGGTCATATTCTTCAACATTTTATCTTTTCTCATAAAAATTAGTTTACTCATTTTTTGGTAGTGGCAATCCAATAGACTAGCAGCAGCTTTATCATTAAGGTCAACCTGGCCATGGTAATCAAAAATGAAGTTACAAACCTCATATTGGGGTTGTTTCTAACTAAGTTTCTTTACCAGCTTTCATAGTTTTGTATTAGGAGTTCAGGCATCAATATTAGTTCACAAATTGCTCCAGCTTTTTCTCTTAAGCACAGAATAAGAGAATAAGTTCTCTTTATTTCCACACTAATTTTTTAGAGTTCGATTTTAATTGAAGGGTTACCCGTATTCCTCAGATTATAAATTACTTGTATCCTTTTCTCTAAGAGAGGCTTCAAGAGTGGAGTTATGCATGAAAAACGGAATCAGTCTTTCGAAATTACCTCTTGGGATAGCTTATTTTGCAGCCTTGAATCACAGTTTCCTTGTAAAACAGCCATCTTGTATCAAAATCTTTATGAAATGGCTCTTGTAATAAGTTTCTGATCGATAAGGTTTTGAAAGAGATTCCAGTCAGCCTTCTTAAAATTCCAGCAGAAGTTCTTACTATTATTCACTTCATTTCCACTAAAATGAGCAGGTGGTCACTTCCAATGTTATGAAGCACAGTTCAAGAACAGTCGGGGATGAGATTAGAATTGACCACAGTTAAATCGAGAATGTCTTCAGTGTTGTAACCGAGAGAGGAGAAGGTCTTTGATCCGTCATTAAGGGACAAAATAGCATGATCATCTATCAAGTTAAGAAAATCCTCACCTCTATGATTAACACTTGCGCTGCCCCAAACAGTGTGCTCAGTATTTTAATATCTCCAATGATAACAGTGCTGTTGCTAACAATAAAAATATTATGCTGATATTCAAAGATATTATTTTGATTTGGTGGATGGTACAAGTTAAACATGTTAAAGTGCTTTTTGTTCCAGTTTACCTTCATTGCATGAATTTATTACTGGTGAGAGGTCAAGTTGTTGATAATTTAGTTCTCTAATTAGAAAAGCTAAACCTTCACTGCTTTTATACTGTCTTTTAGATCTCAAGATATGGTAGTCCTTGAGTTTTGTTTCTTGAAGGGCAATTAATGATTTGAATACCATTTTTAATGCAATATCCAAGATTGTGTCTAACTTAATCCTAGTGGCACTTGTTTATAAGACGTTGATATTACTCTGAAGAATTCTTAATGCTCTTTTAAATGGAGACGATGCTTAATTTTCAGATTGGGCCCTCTTCCTAAGCCCTGGAAGCACCTGATTTATACTGGATGTCTGGTTCATGGAAAAGGAGAATGGTACAGCTTCTGTTCATCAACTGCCATGTTCATCAACTTCTACCACTATGTTCATCAACTTCTACCAAAAGGTAGAAGGCTGACTTTGCCTACTAATTTTAGCTGGGCTACAAGGAATGGTCTTCATGCCTAAGGTGGCCCTTCTAGGAGAAACTTCTGACATACTTCGCCCATTCCGCCCACTGCAACCCTCTCGCCATGCTGAGGCAACTAGTAAAAGTAAGTCATAAATGATTTCATTTATTAAATCTGGCTTAGATTTAATCATTTATTAGTCAAAATTAGAGCAATAATTCTAAAATTAACTTTTACAAAGATAAGAAATGGAAGATGGAGATAAACATATACAATAGTAATATTTTACATTTTGCCACTAACTGTTATTTACAATGAAAGATAATATAGAAAAAATGCTAATTTACCTAAAACAATTTGCCCCATAAGGGCATTCTTTTTTAGTACTCTCACCCTCACTCTCACTTATTGCATCATTTTTATCATTTTTTTGACTGCTTTGACTGCTTTCAGGTTCAGAAGCATAATCAGAATCACCAGGATGACTAAACTGATCCAAGTGGTTTGGATGCCGCCTGAAAACAGAAATAACATTTCATAAAATGGATTTTCTTATTTTGTAATAAAATAATAAAAGATAAACAATGAAAACTGAATATTTGTAATTAAACTGCAATCATGCATTCAAATTTAGCATAAAAATTATAAATAAAAAAAATAATAAAAAAAAAATTTCTGAATTACGTCTTATCTTTGGTTCATCTTCAACGGTTTCGCACCCACATTTAAAGCAGCTGTACCACTCCTATACCGTATTCTTGATAATGATGCATCACCATATACTGTTTGAATCTTTTCTAACATTTTGGTAGCAGATTTAGCTTATTTGTAACAAAAGTTAAATGTTCCATCTCAGAGCAAATATTTTTGTGCAGTGAATGAAATGTATTCAGTAAACAAAAATGACTCTGGTGTTGTAATAAGCAAATGAAAAACACCAATTTAAATAGGTTTTTAAAAAGAGTTGAAGTGTCACTCTTACTAAACAAACATTTATTTTTTCATTTTACTGTTTGGTCTTTTAATTTGCCTGGTTACATTAAGGGTGCACCTTGTAAATGAAGATATATTTCTAATAGTGCAAGAAAAATGAATACAACTACTTGATTAATAATGTAGATATATTTTTGGGAATATCAATTCTATCAATGAACCATGTTCAATTTTATATACTTCAACACTGTATATGCAGATTCACCAGAAAGCATTTTCAAATTTATCCTACAGTGCATCACATAGAATTTTTTAAGCTATTCAAATGCTTTAAAACTTTGGTACCCACATTTTAAAGCAGCTTCATAAACACTTTTTTTTTAATTAAAGGGTACAGAAACAGCAATATTTTTCATCTTACGTTAAAAATCCATTCATACACTATTAGATCAATAGCTAAACCTTCTACTTTCGGCCTTCCCCCCAATTTTCACTCTATTTATTCAATATTCCCTTTGATCTGTAAAATGCTTCTAATTTGAGTTTCCCCCCCAACACCAAATTTTTTGGAAGTGTCTGTCTGCTGTGGTGTTCTGAAAAAGCCATTTCCAAACCAGCCCCTTTTTCTTTTCACAAGATAGAGCTTTGCTCTCTGATTCCACAATTCCTTACGGTAGGAGAAAAACCTTTTAAAAAATTAAACTACCTCCCGCCAAAAAAAGCAATAACTCTTAATAATGTAAGCATTATTTGTGTTGTGAACTACAGATGAATAGTCTACTGTTTTAAAAAATGGTATTCAAAATTTACATTATACTCATTCACATTTTCTGCTGATGGAAGAAGAAAAAAGTGGGCTCTTTTATTTGAAAACAATATCTCACCTCAAAGGAATGTAAATTAGGATGAAAGGACTTAACTATAAAAGGTTGGTAAGGTAAATGGACAATGCAGAAACAGTCTCAATGTCAAAAATGTCCTCAAGAAGGAGGCCAATTCCTAGAAATGTGAGCTTATTTATAGCCCCTATCCTTATCAGTCAGGGCTCTTTGAAAATGTTAAAGTTTAATAAATAAGAAAACCACTACAATATAGTAAAAGCAGGCACATATCAACTGGATCCCCTTCCCTTTTCATCAAATAAAGCAGAAAATATCTAGTTAAGTTGCCACATTACTTCTCACTGATGCTGTTATCGAGTCAACAACCTTACAGGGTAAGTCAAGAGTCATTCAACACACTGACAGACATGGTTGCTACAGAAGTGGTCAAACAATATACAAAATTAATAAGGTTTTGAAAAGATCATGAAAATCTGCCCCTAATTAAGATGTGTGAGAAAGCAACAGGTTTACTGTTAGATTAGATCCTAATCAATTAGAATAATATTTTTTTTTTTTTTTTCTCCATGAGAATTCCCCTTCCTTTTTATTCATAAATAAAAAAGTTAAATGGAATGCAACCTTTTTTTCTTTTCTTTTCTTTTCTTTTATATATGTTCATGGTTGCAATTTCAGACCAATAGCTAAAATTTACTTCTTCTTTTATACATTCATCACCTGATTATGTTTCATGTATCTGAAACAAGTACATACCTATAACATTTTTTACCATATGTGCAAGGAATTCTTGGTTTATCAAGTTTGACTACTTGAGAACTGGATTGATCTGCTTCTTCTTCTGAGCCTGCTTCACTTGCCCTTTTATTTTTTCTTCTCTTTCCTTTTGGGCCCTGCATAAACAAGGGCATAAAAGAAATAATAAAAATACTACAACATTAGTATGCTGGGTTGAAAAAACATGCCATGCATAACAACACGAAATTCTTGCACACACACACAAATACATATATATAAAGAAGATAACCTTGTAAGTTTTATGAAAACAAAGTGATTAATTACTAAAGTTCACAAAAATGAGCACACAAAGCATTACATTAAACATTACACATCATACATTAAACGCGCATGGGTAAAGCTTTGAGGTCCGGATTATAGATCATTGCGGATAATAGACGTCCGGATTACGGACTTTGTACTATAGTAGGCAATGCTTTGTATTTAATGCACCCATTCATATCTCTCAATTTTGTATTTAAAGGCAATTTTACTCCATTCTATATGAATATATCTATTTGCAATTTCTTTCTAACTACCTACTTGATACATATAAAATTCAATTTCTATTTGATCAAAATATTTTTCATCTATAATGGATGGGAAATTATTCACTAAGAAATGAACAGATGAAAATGAAACTTTAGTTATTAAGTTAATGTCAGCAACTTCAGCATGTTTTAGAAACGGATCACTTAAAGGAAATTTATCTATTATATATATGTACCAGCAGTTAACCCCCCCCAAAAAGTTTGTACAGAATTTAAACATAACTTCACTTCAATTTCCGTATTTTAGTTATAATCTTATTTCTGCACCAATCACTAAACTTTCATTCTCTTTTTATTACACTTCTGAAATGCAACAGATGTCAGAGTATCTGCATTTCCTTCAAAAATTACGAACGGTTTTCTAAACCCAATAAATAAATTCATTAGAAGTTCAACAAGTTATATTCTCAACATATGTATATTAGCAGCTTTTTATTGCAAATTAATATTTGCTGTTAGAAACAAAGTATTCTTCAAAAATAACAAATACAATATGGTGGCAGTTGATTGTACATTGTTTAATGTTTTGCAATCTCTTTTCTTTATTCTCATTATATGGTTGAGCACAAAAAAAAAAAAAAAAAAAAAAAAAAAAAAAAAATTAATCAGAGCATCCCACTGTTTCAAAATTTTTGTTATAGACTAAGCAGAAACTCTTGGCTTATACATGGAAATATACGCTAGCCTTTTCCAGGATAGACAGAAAAACTCAACTGCATCCACTTCTATAGCATAGCTCTAGCCTGTGGGATAATTTCTCAATCTCTGAAATTGGGTCTAGCCTCTTCTTCATAATGATTATCATCTTTAATGTTACTGCACTTTTCAATCTTTAAAAATCGAAACTTTATTCTACACTATTGCATTCACAGTCAAAAATGATCAATTTGTATCCTGAGCAGTTGATGACATAATTTTCTACTTTCATGCAGGTGCATTATTTTAAACTTTCTTTTCTTTGTTTTGCATTTCATATAAATTTTATGCATAAATTAATAATGAATATTAATGATGATATAAAAATGACTAAATTACTCAAGCAAATACTATTTGAATGCAAGAAGTAAGATGTGGAAAAAAAGAGGAATCATTTATGAGGCTCTTATTTCCAGCTTGTAGGTTTCTGTTTGAATTTAACAGCTTATGTAACTGCAGACTTAAATTACGTACCATGCTAACCAGATTACTGTCCATTGTAAATGAAAGCAAAAAATTACATTTCAAAAAATATTCTTATTCAGAAGATGCAAATTAAGTAAAAGCTGTCATTGGCTTGAAAAATTTTGACTAGCGATGGATGAATCAGAAATGATTCTTGTTATTGTTAAAGTACTGGTGATACCAATTCAAAAAGAATAATTAAGAAGGTTATGATCAGTTTTTTTAGGGAAGAATTTGGACAATGTTTTGAAGACTGGGGATGAGAAACTTGCTCCTTAAGTGTGCTTGTAACCAAAAGCATCAGGTCAAGAATCTGGAATTGATTTAATGACATTAGTGGTGTAAGCAGACAACCAGATCAGATCCAAGATTTACCATAAGAGATTCTCAGGATCCAGATTGCAGAGGAGTTCTGACTATCCAGATGTACTAGGAATGACATGCTGCAAACAAGAAAATCTATAATTTGTCTCCCACTAATTCAGGCTGAAATGCACTCAGTTGCAGCTGTACAGAGTTATTGTGATTGGAAGACTCCCAGGTTCTCTTTATTGATTCTCATTTTTACTTGGAGAGACTTTCCGAATGTGTTTTGAGCTTGAGGAAGCAAAGCAAATTCATTAAGGCTGGAAACATCTGTGAAAGAAATTAGTACAAAGGTAGAAGAACAGGGATTCTCAACCTTTTTTGCTCCATTCACCTCTTTTGCCGCTGCTAGACGATTATACTGCCCATTCAAAAATTCGAAAAAAGCTCTTCAAAACGCTATTCGCTATGGACCTGTACATCTGTCTTTGAATTCTCTGCAATACTTTGCACACACGTTGAATGCTCATACACTTTTCTCCATAGACTTCACACAGTTGGGAATAAATGTCCACTGGCGTAGTGTTAGCCAGAGACCTGTTATATACTAGACGGAGTATCGCCATTCAAAACCGGGTGAAAAAGCGGCACGGGAATGAGCTGCAGAAGTTTGGGCATGAAATGGAACTGAACCCAGGCTTTGGCGTACTATCGCCATGGCTGGCAATTTTTTTAGTTCGAAATGCGAACTTGGAAAGATGTCATTTCGCAGAAGCTGTCGTTGAATTTGCAGAAGAGGTTAGATCGATAAACACCAGCCAAAATTAGTAATTTCCCTAAAATTGGACAATTTATTTTAAAATTTAACTTTATTTTAAATTTTAATTTTTAAAATTTTAATAATTTTCATGCTGTAGAATAATATTTTGTAATATGTTCCTCGGCGTCTACAAAATATAAAATAAAAATAAAAAAAAACTGGAGAGAACAAACTAAAAATAATAAAACTAAATAAATAATAAAAACTAATAACAAACTAAAAAATAAATAAATAAAAAAAAGAAGGTTTTTTTTTAGTACTTACGACAGAATAAAAAAAAAAAAATAGATAACATAAGAAAAATGAGTGAAAACAGAAAATAGTACAAAAAGGAAATTTAATGTTAATACGGTGTATTACAGAGAACTACAGAGTAGGCGAATCAAAGTGAGAAAGATATTAAATTAATTGAACTAAAAATGAATGTCAATATAGCAGATATAAGTTAAAAGGAAGAGAGAGACTGGTAAATAATTAAATTATGAAACTAAAAGGTGGTAAATTAAGACTTCCTTTTACTAGCAAAAATATATATATGTATTATGCACGTTGCACAATGTAGTCGCACTTATTTTAAATAATTTTAAAAGGTAAAATTTAAATAATGTTCATTATTTTTAAAAAGAAACTTAAAATTATTAATGTTTTGAAATTTAACTGCTATATAATTTCTATTTTCTTAATACTTAACAAATTCTTAATATTGGAATAAATGCCAGAAACATGATATAAGAAAGAAAATACGTGATTGAAAGTAAACATATTTGTTATATTTGGATGCAAGAAAAGGGGATAAAATAAAGTCATTCATGTACCCCCCCCCAAAAAAAACATAATTTTATGCAGTTCTTACATAGTGTTACATCAACATTACCAAGTATTAAATACATACATTACTACTTCGCACATGTCCGCATGAGCAAACGCATATAAAGAATATATAAACAAACGCATTCAAAGCAGTCTGTTGGCGTATGAAAAATGTCGCCAAAGCAAAATACTAGACTAATTAAAATTATATTGTATTACTAAAATTTTAACATTTTTTTCGGAACACAGTTATTAGAAACATACATATATATTAAGATACTTTTATTTAAATGTTATTTCAAGTATGCATATATTATATAAAATTAGAAAATCTATTTTTTGTTAGAAAACGGCAAGTAGAGTGGATTAAAAAACCTTTACATTTTATATAATTCCGTTTTAAAACATTAGAAAAAGCTCAGCTGTGAAATGTTACTCCTCCACCTTTCACATATCTGGAATTTCATCTACATGCGGAGCACGAAAGTACCATTTTTGAAGTCCGAAACAATGCGCGTACACGCAAAACATTTGCTTCTCACAAATTCTCCATAGAACTGTAATGGGAAGGAAGATCCGCGGGAAATACGATTTGGGAAATGTTCCAAATGTCACGTGGTTCGCATTCCTGTTCCCCTTCAGGGTTGCCGTTTCTCTCTCTAGTACATTACAGCTCTATGGTGTTAGCAAACAAAAAACGAATCACTGAGCATAATTCGAACCTGGAGAAAGCTCCATCTCTAACAGCTGCCAAGCCATGACTGAGTGTCGCAGACAGTTCGCTGGGGTGGGGACTGGGAGAGACGGAACTAAGCTACATGCCAGGGTTGTCGCATCCTGCATAATAGCGTTCATTCCTCAAGACTGCAGCTTCTTAAGAACCTTATTTTACTAACAACTCTCATATTACACAATATATAATATGCAAAGAAACACTCAACTCCATTCTTTGTTCATAACATGTTGTTTTAGTGCTTTAATATATGAAAATTTTGGTAGCTCATTATTTTTATAGTGCCTAATGAAGGGTTAAAAGAATTATTTTAAAACCACTATGAAGAATTAGTGTAAAAGTCATTATAGTTTTCTTACCTTTTTCTTTTTCTGGCTTCCCCAATCACTACCAGATTCACTACCAGACCCAACCTTATGAGTAGTTTTCTTTGACTTTTTGTGTTCCACTTCCCAATCACTTCCAGAATCATCACCTCTTTTGGAACCTCTTTTGCGCCTCTGTTTTGGTTCGGATCGATCACTCTGCCATTCATCATCATCACTAACAATGAAGTCCTCTGGAAACAGGAATAATAATATGTAAAATTAATAAAACACAGTTCTCCAGCAAATAATTAGAATGATGTACTAACAATTATTAAAAATAAAACAGTCCAAATAATAAAGCAGACTTTTCAAAAGTCTTCCTAATAAACACATTTAACTGAGTATATAAAACTCCTACAAGTGCATTACTATATCCTCTGAGGTTAGCATTCAACAGTTTTCCAGTCTAATATTTTTCCAAGGAAAGATATCTCTTAGTTTAAACAGCCATTACCAACTTGAGAACTTATTAAACTAAATGCAAATAAATTTAATCACCATTGCTAACAGCTGGATAACTCACAAAATTGCATAAAAGACAAAATACTTCTGACAATTTGCTTGGAGGAAAGGTGATACTATTAACCAACTTATCTTTTGGCCACAGAAGTGAATATTTGGAGGAAATTCACAAACTGGACAAATCTTTTGGAGTTCAGCATCAGCTGATACTCTGAATGAAATAACTTCACACAGAATGCCCTATCAAAAGTATCTTTACTAACTTTTTACACTTAGCAATAAAAATGTTGACTATAAAAACAAGATATGTATAAACTCTCTGCTAACCAATACATCAATGAAAATGGCACATGTTTGGTCAAATATTCCTTGCAGCATTCAAACTCAGTAACTAAATGGGATACAGCCAAAATCATCAACAAAGCATAAAAGCATACTTAAAAGTCAGAACAGTAGCAAGATATTGCCACTAGAAGCGTTATACAGACTTTCCTTTCAATCTGTCACATATCTATGTGCTGATCTAGAGAAATGCAGCCAACTTTTCAGAAAATAAAAGAGGAGGAAATTGATTGAGCCATTTATTCCAATCCCAAATGACATAGCAAATGGGTCACATGCAAAAATTCTTATTCTAAAAATAGTAACCTTTTTCTGCACTATGTCACTTCAAGACTAATCCATGTCATCCGACTCTTTCATAATGCTGATAATGTAAATGGAACTAAAACTCAAACAGCCAATAATAATTTTCCAGCATTATTAATTATCCAAACAAATGCACTGAAATCTGAAACTAACTCATTCTGAATTAATGTTTTATCCTGAACATAAGTCACTTGCTTTCTGCCCTTTGGCCTAGACAGACTTCTGCTTGCTGGTATTCCTATTATGAAACAAAAAAAAAAAAAAAAAAAAGAGTAATGTTTTGAAATAGGCAGAGTAGTATGTCAATTGGTTTGTGATCCCAAATGTTGACTGAAATAAAAGGGAATATTTAATCTGTCTCATATGCTAAGTTTGCTCTTTATAATGGATGAACGTCTTCAGCATCTAAGAAAGGTAATATTTCTACATCTATGCTATCATACAACATCATTACATCCAAGTTTGCTTCATTACATAAATATTCGCATATTTATATATGTTTATGGTAAACCAATTTAGGTTTAGAGAAAAGATTCCTTCATTTTAAAATTTTATGGCCTTGATAAGTTTTTTTTTTTTTTTTTGTTTGTGTGTGTGTGTGTGTGTGCGGTCTGAAAAATGCTTTTCATTTATATGTCAATAGCTAGAAATCTAAAGCTTCATATTTTACATAAACACATTCTGCATATAGCATTCCCAACTTTTTCAATTTTTTCTATGTAACAAAACTCTGCTTACAACCATATTTTTCATTGTTTGTGATTATGAAATACACTAGGTAAAAATGCAGTTGAAATTCACTTCCACTAACTAAACTTGAAACTAATTCTGCAAAGCAGATGCTTCAATTCTAATTTAATGCTGAGAGCTGTTTTGATTGCTTTCGATATGAATCACTGATCACTGTAGGAATCATAAAGGTGTTATTCGCTGCTAATGCCTAAAAAGAAACATAGTATGCATATCTATCACTTCGATGATTTTCAAGAAGTATAGTTAATATTTTCAACATTGATCTGCTAGACATATAAATCTCATATAATAGCCGTACTTTGAAAATGCTGGTGAACACGGTACTATGTGTTTTTGGGAGGCTTTCCTTCTTGTAATATAATACAGCTCATTTTTACAATTTGAAAAAAGAAATGTATGTATAAGTTTCTTATTCAGCCAAGATGAACAAGGCAAATTCAGCAGACTTTTGCATTGTGTAACTTTGCTGTCATACTGGTTTCATCAGGCATGCCATAGCAATTTATCATGACAACTCTACATCATAATTGTCCAGATTTGTATAAATCAGACATCAAATGTGCTGATAGAAAAAAAAACCTGTCAAAACAGATTTCATGGTTTTTAGGAGCTCTAATTAAATGCATTATTACTTCTAACCTAAACATTTTCTCTGATCTAGGTATTTAACCTTTTTTTTACCACACTCAAGTTGTGAGTACACTTGAGTATGTGATGTGTAGAGCATCCACATACATTTAATCTACACTAGTACCGGGTTTCACAGGTGTATTACTGCACTATTCCTAATCTACCTTTGTCTAATCTAACTATGCATATGTTGACTGATACTTCATACAATACAAAATGACAAGGAAATTTTTTTTGTAAATATGAAATGATGGATTCTACTTTTTGTGTACACATAACCGTCTTCAGTATTATTTTACTTAAATTTCCCTGTCTAACATATGAAAATAATGCTTGATTTGTGAAACTGTATTCTGTACAACATTTTCTTTATCTCATTTCCAAGTATTACATTATTTGATGGATAATTAACTTATTCTTGATACCCTTACCATAATCATTATGAAAACAATTAACAAATAAAATTTTTTTTTAAAAAAGAAATGACTTTCTAATTACACATGATACAGCCATGCTCTCTTGCACAGAATTACATATGTTTATTTGTGTTATATATGTTTATTGTGTTTACATATGTAAATTCTATAACAAAATTTATCTGCAAGGAACAATTTTAAATACTGCAAAGGGGAAGCAGTAACAGATAAATTATAGAGTGATTCAGAAAAGTAGTTAAACGGGGTTAAAATTTTGGCATTAGTTGTTAACATTGCACTATCAATAATATTTTACTCCATTTTCTTTACATTGTCGTGTAACATCTGCTTCCAAATTTCCTCTACACTTACTTCCAACTTATAAATGGTTCCTCCTCTTTATAATTTATTTAATTTTCTACTTCTGTCATCACCCTATTCTAAATCTGACTCATTTACTCATTATGCAGGATAGCTTTGATTTCTGGTTACAACTTTGTAATAGCTAGGTATTTTGAAGAAACTTTAACAAGAATGTTTTAAGCCAAGGAAGAATCAAAGAAACTTTGACTTAAAGGTAAGACACACAAAAGAATCTTTTTAGGATATCTGTCTATAGGAAAGATAAGCTTATCTGGGATCGCTGCAGATATGCTTTATTCTTTTAGCCAGCCTGCTATTACTTATTTCAATGATAAGCCATGACAACCATTTCAGTTGTCAAAAGGTTAAATAGAACTAGAAGTATAACAAACTAAAAATATTACTGATTGGTTCACATGATTAGAAATAGATGCACAAAGATTTCATATCTTCGTTATATGCACAGCACAAAAGCCATTGTCATTTTACAAGTAAACAGTAAATAAATGAACTTTTTAAGAAAGATTCTTTTCCCTTCCTTTTATGGATTCCCTCTTTTTTTTTTTTTTAACTAAGATTATTAACTAAAAATTACTTTTCTGAGTTTGACATGCACAAAGTTCATTACTTAAGTATTTTCAACAAATTGAGGAACTTTTAAATGTAAAAAATGATAGCAATTAATTATGTCAACAAATGTAAAGATTTTAAAAAAAATGACTAAGCAGAACTTGCCAAGTGATAATCCTTGCCGTGTTTGTCTGTTGGTTCTTGATGAAGTACGACCTGCTACTCTTCGTTGAGAATTACCTTCTTCTCCATCATCAAATTCAAATTTTTCAGCTTTTTTACGACCTTTTGTTTTTGGCGGAGTGTCTGAAGCTATAAAAAAAATTCCAGATATTGCAAAATATTAGATTAGAAAAGATTTTAAAACCTTCATTTTTGCCTTTAAAAATATTTAAAGCTTCAAAATTTTATAATACATGAAATAAAATAGAAGTATCACAAAATATTTATAAAATATGAAAGTCTGCTGTTCAATTTCTTTTATTTATCTTTTTTTTTTTTTTTTTTTAATAACTTAAGGGCCGTTCACAAGAGCAGATTCGACCGGTAGCGAAAACTGGTTCTTCCAACGTGTCCCATTCACACGGCGACAAACATTAATTGCTTCTCCGAATTGGAGGGAGAACGTTCCTACCTCTCAGGAGCAGGGCAAATGGGGAGATTTGCACTGCGCGATTGCACGGATAACTTAATTTAAACAAATAACATGGCAGACGTGAAACTAACTGCTTGCTGGTCAGCGAAACAATCTGTGGATCATCATCCAAAAAATTTACATAGAACTGTACAAAATATGGAAATTTGTAAACAAGTACACACAATGTTATCTGATGCTGGCCATTCCAGAAGTACCATTCAAATAAAAACTAAATACAGGTATATCGACTTCCGCTCAACAAGGGGACTCGATAAATTTTGAATGGTTTTTATTTAAGAACTTTTATCTACTTTTATGAATGATATTAAATAGTTTTGTAAGACAAAATAATTTTAAGATGAGAAAAAATTTTTTGCCAGTATTTTTTTTTTTTTTAAATTAAAATTTTTGGAAGAAAAGTTTAACAATTAAAATGTTATTCTTCTCGTACAATTTTCAATAATTTTCCTCCATATTTTCTTCTTGTATTTATTAGATAGTTCTTAATAACTTTATGGATCAATTTTGCAATTAATGAATTAGTTTCTGAGAAAAAATAAAAACACATGTATCAAAATGTGTTTTTATACTTTGAAACAAATTTGATCTCAATTAAACTTTGAAACAAATGTGATTATTTTCAAGTATTTTTCAAATATTTGAATTTTCAAAATATAATATTTTCAAAACTTTGAAACAAATATGATCTCAATTACATTTCCACTTCAAATAATTTTTCTTTTCAATATGTTGCAAAACCCATTCTTGTTCCTAAAAAGTATATAATTTTAATTAAGCGGTAAAAATATTAAATACACTGGTTATCATAAATTAAGGAAAAATCACAAAAATAGCGATAACTCCCTAAAAAATAAGCCAAACCGTGTAAAATTTGAATATGTTGCCAAGTAAGAGTAGCTGAGTAAAACTCCAATATGCAGATTAGTGGTGCTGCACTCGGAATAAGTCATCTGCGAGAAGCATAAAAGTTCATGTTTGAGAGCAAGCCCACATATTTCACTGTGATAGTGCCATCAGAAATTTGAGATTGCCGATTCGTAACAATGATCTCCAGGCATCATTTGCCTGCACAACTACGATAGAAAGCCACTGAGAGACTAGAGGCAGGACAAAGTCAAACAGAATAGGCCAGATGGATAAATGGGAGTCCTTTTGTGGTTCATAGACTTTGGAGGCAATTTCAAATTACAGATTCGGCACCTAGGAGGTTCAGCCAAGGACGGCCAACTGCTACGGCAAGCGCCGATGACCGATATTTGACATTATGTGCACTCAAATAGAACCGCTACTCCGACTCTTCTTAGATCCTCCCTTACTGCAGCCACCGGAAGGTTGGTGTCAACTGTGCGTAAGGCTTCACGAAGGTGGTCTGTACGCGAGGCAAACAACCATCTGCGTGCCGCACAAGTCACACCACAGCAGGGACAGTTTGCAGTGGGCACGATAACATGTCCACTGGACGCCTGAGCAATGGAGGGCTATTCTCTTTACGGATGAGTGCAGGTTTAGTCTAGAATGCGATAGTAGGCGTTATTTGATATGGAGAGAACCTGGAACCTGTTATCATCCCTCAAACATCCATGAAAGAGATGCATACGGAAAAGGCATTGTGTGTTTGGGGTGGCATCTCTTTGGGTGGACGCACAGACCTCCATGTTTTTCCAAGGGAAACCGAGAATGCTCATGTTTATAGAGATGACATCCTTGATGCTTATGTGCGCCCATATGCTGGGGCAATAGGTGATGCTTTCCTGTTACAGGACGACAATGCAAGACCACACAGGGCTCTCATCATACATGATTATCTTCAACAGGAAACAATTATTTGCATGGAGTGGCCAGCTCGATCCCTGGACTTGAATCCTATCGAGCATGTTTGGGATGTTTTAAACATCTAGCTACTCTCAATCCGCCCCCTTAGACCCTTGCCGTGCTTGCAACTGCTTTGCAAGAGCAATGGCTCTCACTTCCTATGGAACTGATAGACCGCATAATTGAAAGCATCACACATTGCTGAATGTGCTGTATTGCTTCTAGAGGCGATTATATTCCATATTGAAGGTATTTTTACTATAGCAAACTAACATCTTTGATTTGTTCATTTTATATATGTGCTAATTTCTATACTACCATAATTGTCTGGTAATTTCTGTTTATGTTATTTGATACCTTACTATGTGTTGTACACTGACTACCAATAAGTATTTGGACACCTGTGATAGAAAAGAAAAACTAACTTTATTCAATATCAATAGTTGGTAGAGCCTCCACGAGAGGTAATTACAGCGTGGACCCTCCGGGGCATACTTTCCACAAGTCTTTGTATGACAGGTAGTGGTATTTTTTTCCACTCGGCTTGGAGAAGACATAGAAGTTCCTTCACCCATTTTGCACAAGTAGTGCACCCCTGAATTCGGCGATGCAACTCGTCCCAGAGGTTCTTGATAGGGTTCAGGTCTGGACTCTGGGGAGGCCAGTCCATTCGATGAACTCCATTGGTACCATACCAAGCCTTGGTTAACGTCGAAACATGACAACTGGCATTGTCGTCCTGAAAGTAACAGGGGTCCAAAGCGTAAAACTGCCACAACGTAGGAAGCACATTGTCATCCAAAACAGTGCAGTAGGCATCGGAGTTGAGCTTACCATGAATGGGAACCAAGGGTCTCACCCCATACCAGGAGAAACACCCCCAGACCATAATTCCACCTCCGCCGAACTTGACTGTTGGCACAATGCATTCTGGCAGGAGACGTTCTCCAGGTAGACACCAGACTCAGAATGAACGGTAAAGGGTGAACCTTGATTCGTCACTCCAAAGAAGCCGTTTCCACCGATCTACGGTCCAATTTCGATGTGCTTTGCACCACATTAACCGAGCAGCGCGATTCGACTTTGTGATCAAAGGCTTATGGGAAGCAGCACGACCATGAAACCCAAAGCAGATGTGCTTCCTTACAGATGGTATTCATTGAAGCAATACTCTCGGATGCCTGTTGAAACTCCTCGCGGATGAGGGCCATCAGTTGTGTGCGGTTCTTCCAAATTTCTCTGGACAGCACTCGTCGGTCTCTGTCTCCCAGTTCATTGGTCTGCCAACTTGGGGCACATTCCAACAATTACCACTCACCTTCCACTTAATCACATAGGCCACCGTCGATTTTGGGTACTTCAGATCGCTAGATCAATCCCTTAAGGATCGGCCACATTTGTGATACCTGATAATTATACCGTTCTCGAAATCAGAGAGCTCCGAACTGCGAGGCATCTTGCATGCGACTAAAGACGATGCTGTTTCCTACACGACATATGCCGGCGGAGTCCGTGACGTACCTTAGGACCACAGATATCGTCATTTGCATAGGTGTCCAAATACTTATTGGTAGTCAGTGTATATTGTGGGTAAGTTTCAAAAATTCTACATGTAACTTTTTCAGTAATCGTGATTTTTCCTTAATTCATGATAACCAGTGTAATTTAGGCCATATCTATATAAGCTTTAGGACTTTAAATAAAAGGATTTATCGAAAGAATGCAAACTGAGAGAACGCAGTTTAAGGAATATAAGCTGTCTATGTGGTCATTAAATCATTTCAAATTTCTTAAAAATTTTATTACTGAATTTCATTACATATATATAAAATAAAACCTAGTGCTATTTAATTGGTGAATATAAACATATATTACAAGCTTTTATTTAAAATCTTTGTATAACACATTCAAATTAATTTTAACAGATGAATTAATTATAATATATTTTCTAAAATGTTTATAATCAATATTAAAACATTTATAATTAATATTAATGCTATTAATTTGTCGTTTTATTCTTTTTTTTAAAAAAAGTAAAGTTTGAAATTTTAGCAGCCACAAAACATTTTATTTAAAACCACTCAGCATATGTGGTTTCTTTTCTTCTTTTTAATCATTTGGTCTCATATATAAATTGCATTTTAAATTAATTTCGGTGTATTTTAATTAATTAAAGAGTTAAACTCTGATGGCGTTCTATGGCAATAGTAAACAAAGTCAAAAATGATTAAGTAAACGTTAGAAATCCGCCAATCTGATTCACATTTGTGACATCATTCATTGCTTGCAGTGACTTATGGGTTAAGGAGTGGAAGACGATGTGAATCTGAACCTGTCCTGAAAGTGAAACTGCTTCATATTCCCATTTCTCCCTAATACAAACGGTGGCTGTGTGATAAAGCGTTGCATGTGAACGGGGCTATAAAGAGCGTGGCAATGTAATTCTTGTATACATAAAGAATTTTATATAAAAATATAACTCACTATATTAATTAAAGTTAAGCAGTTCAGGTTTATTCATGGAACATTCATACATAATTTCTAATGTACTAAATTTCAAATTTTATAAACCAATACAGTTTAATTCTGTTTTTATGTTTCAAAGTTCAATGCTTTTTTAAATGTGCTAAATGAAAAACACTATACCCTGTCTGGGCTTTTTGGGCTGCTTCTCACGACGAGGCTGTTTTGGTGTTGTCTGCCCTCTCTTCCTACCTTTGGTAGGTGTAGGAAGTTCATCCACCCAATCAGCCCCAGTCTGTAATTTATCATCTTCAACTTCATTAGAAGTATCTTTAGAAGGAAGCTTCAAATATAAAAAAGTATGTAAAATTATAGAAACCACTAAAAATACTTTATTAAAAGTGATTAAAAATACAAGAAGAAAAAACAAACAGCACTTATTCACAAGGGTAATATAATGAAATAACAAATGAGGTTTATATCAAGATATTCAATTTTGAATATATATATATATATGCTTTTCAATTTTTCACATTAATCCTCTAAAATGTACAACTTAATTAGAATATAACACTGACAAAGGTACAGGCGGAAAAAAATCATCTCCCTTCAATTATGAGTTTTAGTTTGGGGTTTGACAATCTACCTGAATCAATTTCACTCACATGAAGCTCAGATATTGATTATACCATATGAAGTTATCTTTAGAGTTTACTTATTTGAATCACTTACTAGTAAGTACTATATTATTATTTTGAACTTAAACTTGCCTCTTTTTTCTAACGTATAACAAAATAATATGATAACTGTTTGTAATCTAATCTATTTTTCTTTGGATAAAATTTATTTTATTTTTATTTTTTATTATTTTTTTTTTTACATGCTGTTTTAAAATATATATGTAGTAAAGCAAGGAATACACAAAATGATGAAACATCACATTTTATATTCCAGGTTCAAACAAGCTGATGTAGGCAGGGGGCTTAAAAGAAGCCAAATTACCTTGCATTTCTAAAGAAGATGTTCTTAAAGGTAGCTTCTAATCTCTAAATAACCTATTTTATAACTTTTAACAGTTTTAAGCAATTTTAATTAAATGAAAAATTAAGGTACTTCAAAATTCATTAACATCAATAATTAAGATGAGAACATTAAATTCTAGTAAGACATAGGGCATATAGACATTAAGTAAAATTAAGTTACCTTTAAAAAATGCACACTTCTCAATAAAATAACTTATTTACATGACTGATATATAAACGTTACTTTGTTACATGAATTGTAGAATAAAAATATTTAGCCACTGCATGAATGCCAACTAATTTATGCTTCTGAATATTCTTCCTGAATCAATATACTTCTTATGGCAATTACTTAAACCTCTTTTAACCTTTCTGTGGCAACTCACATGCATATGTGCCAGCAGGAAACAAGCTCATTTCCTGACCAGGATGACGGAGCGTTTCCTCGTTCACCCTTGGTTGTCATACATTTGCACTAGTGTTCTGGAATGTTTTAAAGACCGCTAGATGGCATCTTGCGCCCATTACTTTTGAATTGAATACAGTTTTAGGATTGTGACCTTCAATTTGAACAGATTCTGCATAAAGCTGTGTCAGCTGTTGCGAGGAAGGAGGGATAGCCGTAATATAAATAAACAGAGCTCTACTTTTTAACTCACCATGTGATATAAATATTTGCATTTCTGATATCCCTTTGAATTTTTTTTAAATTCCTTTTTTTTTTTTTTTTTTGCTACTATGTACAATTTTTTACAGTTACTATGTCGGGTCCTATTACACTCTGCCTTGCTATTATTGCTTTTATTTCACATACTTTTTCTTTTATTTCGAAAAGCTTTGACTTCAGTTTATTATGGCGAGCAAGCATTATTTATCAGCTGAGGGGCATACTCACATGGTAAATGAGCCAATTAGTGACATGAAGGAGAGCTATGATACATTTTCTAGAGATTTATGAGCAATATTTCGAGTGATTCTCATGCAGATATTTTGTCAGAGACTTGAGTTCAATGAATGTCTGCCTTCCAGTTCACAAAGGTTTTGTTACTTCTTGTAAATACTCTAACTTGTACTTTTTTTATTAATTTAAAAGTTTATTAATGCATTTTATCAATTAAAACTTTGGAATAATTTGAATAGTACTTGTGAAAATTATTTCTCAAAATGCATTTTTTTAAATGTATTTTCGTATTAAAAAAAATCTGATGTGTACACCACGACTTCCTTGTACGGAATATTAAATTATACGCATTTTTTCTTCTATTTCTTTAAACTTATTAGATTGAATCAAATCTACTTCGCCGACAGCGCATAAACCACAACAGAATAAATGCATTCTTTAAAATTCACTTTGTTTACCATAGCGACACTCTGGCGCTAGGTTCACTTAACAGCATCATATTTCGTTCATATTATAACTCAGAATGCACAAAATTTATATCATTTAAAGAATAGAATTATCTAATCATTGCCACATGTTCTATTCAAATACTATAATAAAGCTAGAATGATGTATAAAAGAAATTAAGCAAACAAAACAAAAAAGAAACAGTTTTTTTTACAGATGATTGAGTATTTCTTATTCAATTAATTCAGTTCTGACTTCGCGAGAAGGCAAAAATACATAAAAACTCAAAATATCTATATTAAAAATTACGAAGTAAATCTTAAACACTTATTTCCTCAAAAAAATTCCAGAAAGGATTAAGCATGATTTAATTGGCAATAATAAATGAAGGCGTTATCTTTGTTGTTGCAAAGCTAAGTTTCTCTAGATTGGCAACAAATCCACTATCCTGCTGTTTCAAATGTAAACAAACAATGGCCGCCATCAAGAGAAGTATTAGGTTTAGTGGCACTTAAACAACTTTAAAATTGTTGATAATTCTAAAAATATTGCATAGAGATTTACTAAAGGCATAAAAACCTTAACCGGAAGATAAGAACAACATAATTCAATTATTTTTAAAGCAAAAAATGTAATTTACAAACACATAAGAGTAAAGAAACTGAGATCACTGAGCCGGGTAACAGAGTGGATATTTATATAAATATATTTATAAACGTTTGGTGGGGCCGATTGCAACCAAAACACGAGGTGCACATCTACATGTTATAGCAGTCCTATATACAAAATTTCAACGTTCTGAAGCTACTCGTTTTTGAGTTATGCGAGATACGTATGTACATACGTTCGTACGTATGTACGTTCTTTAAAGCAGTTTTATAATTTTTTTGAAGGAAAAGAGTATTTTTTTCTGTCCTTACGTACAGATATCACGCAAAAATATCGTTAAATTGCATTCGATTGCAGTCAAAATTGATATTTTCGCTGAAATATGCTGCCTGAAACTTCGCGATTACAATACTTCCTTTTTACTTTGTACAAGGAAGTAAAAAGGAAAAAGTTTATTAAAACTAATATTAACATATATGATAGTTTAAGTAATAATCTAAAATAGTACAAAATTATGATGTTAGGACGTAAACTTTTTTTTAAAATTTTCTTCTCCTACAGTTAGGCTTAGTGGATCCAAAACCCTGATTTTTTGGTTCATACATGGATTCTTTTTGACTCCCAGTCGTCTTGAGGGAACGTCTTAAACAAAGAAGCATCGACTCGAAAGGATTAAAGGAAGTCCAAACATTAATTTTTTGAACAAAAACAATTTATCAATGACTAAACAGTGCTCTGCGATAAGTGGCTAATTCTATAGTGTCTCAGAAATTAATAATTTAATTAACAGATTTTAAAACATACAAAACTGATAACAATATACATGACAGATTACAAACTTTTCACATACATTTTAGGAGAGCTGCACATCATGATCAAGTTAAAAAATTAAGGTATTTTTCTGTTTTGCCGGCACAGGCGATAAAGTCGCCAGTAATGGTACAACTGATGTGAAACAGAATATCCTCGCTGGTAACCTTTTACACCTCACTTTAAAAAAAAGTCACAGACATTTCTTGTCAGACTGATTGTTTCTTTTAATACTGGCATACAATTACATAAAATTTTTACTAGATAGTTCAATTTTATGCTCTAAGGCCATTTGCGGTAATTAAGTCAATTGGGATGCAATCACACTGCTCACCCGAAGGGGAAAATATAGAAAAGGCAAAGTCAAGGATTAAATTCATCAATTCTAAGTCAAGGATTAAATTCTAATGAGAATGCACTAGCGAGGTAAAGCACTGCGGTTTTACATAATTTTTTAATAAGTTATTCGTACGAATTGAAATAATTCTTGCATTTAAACTTATATTCCAAATGAAGATTTAACTTGAAATTAATGTAGAGAATTACTGAGAGAATTAGATTTTTGTAACGTAGTTTACGTGAGATGAGATCACTTGGGGTCAAGTGATATGAACTGGCAAATCAGGAGTTGAACCATGAAAGCATAGTAAATTCTTAAATTAATGTCTTTTTACAAATTTATTGTCTTTATTTATTGGCTTTTTACAAAATTTTAAACGCTATTAAAATGTTTATGCCTTTAAAATAAATAAAATTCTTAGAACTAACATTCGTTAAAATTTTTTATTTGTGTATATTGTATGTTGTTGCCAATAAAGTCTGCATGGCGAGATTTTCGCCGAAGAAACGGAAAAGTACCAATTTTAAATATCAATATTTGCACAATACTTACAGTATCTACTGCGTCGTCAAAATTCGACGCAGCAGTATTTTCTGTTCGTTTAATTTCTGCACTATCTTGTGAAATTTGTAGCTCATTCTTGCTGTTTTCTGATGCAGAGTCATCAACTTCAGCTTTTTTCTCCTTTGAAAATGAGTCATGACCAAGTGTAGATTCATTCTCTTCTACTACTTTATCACTGAATGGTTTTGACTTTTCATCTTCAGATGTTTTACCCTCAGTTGTATGTAATTCATTAACTTTAGAGAAAGTTTCAGTTCTTTCAGGTTGAACCTCTCCTTTGGCTTCGATATGAGTATCTTCAGCATTACTGTCTTCTTTAAGATCTAATGCTTCTTTAGATTCATTTTCTACACTCACAGATTCTGTATTTTCAGACACACAATTATTTTCTTTGGGCGGTGACTTTTCTTTTCTTGGCAATTCCTTGTCTTCATTAATTTCCTTATTTTCCTTGAAAAACTGAGACTTACTGCTTTCTTCTGTAATGACAGCTATATTCTTGGAAAATGTCTTTTCTTCTTTTGAATAGCTCTTGTCAATGTTTGCAAGTATTTCCTCCTCTTTTGTAAATGGTTTCTCTGTCACTGCTGAAAGCACACAAAATTAAACACATAAAGCAAAAATATATTTCACAATATTCCTATATATACACATTCAACTCTTATTATATTATTTGCGTAACATTAATACTTTAATAAAGCACACAAATTCCTTTTCTTACCTTAGGTATATGGAATTCAATGTTTAAGATATCATTTAACAGAAATATTTAAAAAAAAAAAGGGAGACTGTAATGAAGTAAACAAATTCAAAATGTAACACAAATGCTCCAAAAAATATGATTAATTAAATTTGGCATTTGATTGCCAAATTCACAAATCATTAAAAAAATTTCAAAATTTATAAAAAGTGGGTTTTGTGTTGTTGTGTTCCTTCCTTTTATCTAAAACTAAATGTGGAGGAACCTAGTGAACAGCAAATAAATGCTTAAGTTCGGTAACAGAAATGTAAAACTCAGGGTTAATTACCCTTTATTGCTCAAAATAAGGTTTCTCAGGACGTACAACAAAGTCTCCACTTGTGTTTAAACTCAAAATTATAAGAAATAAGAATTTAACTGGAACTCTGCTTATCTCTCCCGAAGTCTGTGGAACTTCGACTTAAGTACTACTCTTTCTCATTTGCATTAAAAATGATTCTAAAAGCACATTCTGGTAAGGAATTTGTAAGCTGAAATTCAGAGAGATAGGAAAGGAGCTTAAAAATAACTGTTATAAACTTAGGATAAACCTTACAGTGTACAAAATTGTCAAAATAAAATAGTTTTATAAAAAATAGAGAAAATTCATAAAATGTAACAAATAAGGGTGCATGCAGCTATTTATAATATAAAATTGGTAAGCTCTAAAATACATTTCAAATATAGCTTTGAAATAAAAAAACAAATATTACATATATCCAACTTAAACCAACATACATGAAGTGTCAATTACATGATTTGATATGATTCTTGTAAATATGTGTGGCTATAATTGTTTGCATAATCACATTATATGTTTGTTTATAAGCACCAATATATTAAACTTTAAAAATCACGATATATCAATGATAAAAATAATTTTTAAATGGGAACAATATACAGAAGAATACATTTTTAATGATGACCTTAGATAAATATATTAATGATATTTATAAAGTAATTTCTAACTAATATCTGAAACCAGTTCAGTCACTGATTCTTATATATAGAACAAAAATACTTGCACATTAAAAAATAAATGTACCTTTTAATATTAAAATTACACTTCAATAAGTTTTTGTACATTTGCTAACATATTATAAATCTTGCTTTCTTTAAAAACAAACACTCATTTTGCTTACAGCAACTGCCATGTATTTTTACTAATAAAAGCAATCAACATGCTACATGTATGCATACGTTTAGGAATACAGATCCTTTCACTGTCTGAAATCTAAACATTCCAGGCAAACAGATGGTAGGCATTGCAAATGCATCAAATTTCCTTCACAAAATTTGCAAGAAAAAAAATCTACACATGATTTTAGAAAAGGACATAAATATTAGACCTTATGACAAAAAATCAGAAAATCTTTATACCCTTTCTTGAAGTGGTTATTGGACGAATCAGGTTAATTGGACCACCGGATAATAGGACCAGCCGCTGTTTCGGACCAAATCCTAAAGAATCGAAACAAATCCTATGTACACAAGCCTAATGTTATTCGCTTTGTAATATCTTGTTATTTAATAAATAAATATAATTATTGTTGAAGTGGCAATGCCATATTTGTATTAAACTGTTACTCAGCAACGTGAGATATTGTTTTAAAAAAAGATTAGGATTCTGAAGATTTTTACAGCTAGGAGTAGTATGAAAATTTTACCACTTAAGAATTGTATAAAATTTGTCTATCACGGTGACTAGAAATAAAATTTATGTTCTACTAAGAAGATTGTCTGTTTTGTAAATTACTGCAAAATACATTACAGTCTTAATTAATTGGAGGTTCCACCGAGATCCTGGAAATTAGGAGTGCAATTATCAATTTCGATGGTGCTAGTCTCCTAATACCAGAAATTTGCTGAATTTTTTAGAACAAGTTTGCTAATACCAGTTGACGAGTTTGTTTATTTCAAGGAGAAATGGATGTAAGAAGTCTGCCGTTTTAAAGCCAGATTTGAGAAGCAGATCATTCAAAGATTATCTTCTGTGCTTGTATAACTTGCATCCGAGCAAAAATCTGTCAAAACAGGATACTGCTAAATCTCTGAAGATAAGATTAACTTTTGGTTTTCTTAAAAAAGCTTTTATTGAATTTTAATACTTTGTTTCCGAATTATAGTTTATCGTGTAAGATTTTGTTTAAAATAACTGACACTAAAAATATTCAGCTTAAATTTATAATTGGTATTTGTGGTAAAGAAGCATTTTAAAATTATTATTTATGCTTTACTTTTATTTGTATTGAATTTTTATGTTGATAATTGATATGTGTAAGCCATCCCGGCGTTTATATATATATATATATATATATATATATAAAAAAAAAAAAAACTGCTAGCTGAATTTTGAATTTGTTGCCAAGCAGGCGCGTGGAAAATAAGTAGCAACGTCAAACTGACGTAGTGTGATTTGATTATACTGCAGAATTGGCAAAAGTTTTTTTCTTAGTTCTCGCCATCCAGGCGTGTGATAGATAGTAACGTCATCCCGACGTATTACAGATTGTATATTCTAAAAGTTGTATTGCCAAACTGGCAAAAATTGTTTTCGTTATCGCCAACCAGGCTGGAGATAGATAGTGAAGTCGTCAAATCGACGTGGGTAAAATTCCATTGTATTGCCTAACTGGCAAAGGTGTTTATATAGTTATAGCTAACGAGGCTTGTGAATAGTGAGTTAAAACGTCAACCCGACGTAGTATTATAGTATTTTGTGCCAACCTGGCAAAGTTGTTTAAAAAATTCTCTCCAATTGGTTAGTGTGAATTTCGTATTTGAGAAATTAAGATTCGCCAGAAATTATACATTTTTAGTACAAGTACGATCTTTCATATTCAATTTCAAAAGGAAGCCTAGTAAAGGTAACTTGTGTCAACATGTCATTCTTAGCTAGGAGTATAAAACAGGATTTAAAAGCATTAGCAGAAGAGTTAGGTTTAATCGTGAAACCTGAATTTAAGATTGCTCAGTTGCATAAACTGATTACTGAAAGTCCCGATTATGATGAGGAGTTTACTCGAGAACTACTGTCTGCAATTAGAGAAGAAAGGGAACGAAAAGAAGAATGCGAAAGAGAAAGGGAATGTGAAAGAGAAAAAGAATGCAAAAGAGAAGAAAGAGAAAGAAGAGAAGAATGCGAAAGGGAAGAAAGAGAAAAAGAATGCAAAAGAGAAGAAAGAGAAAGAAGAGAAGAATGCGAAAGGGAAGAAAGAGAAAAAGAATGCAAAAGAGAAGAAAGAGAAAAGGAACATGAAAGAGAAGAAAGAAAAGAAGAGCTTGAAAGAGAAGAGCGAATTAGAGCCTTTGAGCTACAGAAACTTCAGCTGGAAGCAATGGCTGCCACAGCACAGCCGGCAGAAACTACGCAGTTACCCGAGCAGCCTTTAAAAATCAGAATTCATGATGTCATGCCACGTTTCAACCCTAAAGAAGATGAAATAAGTTTTTTTCTGGTGTTATTTGAGTGTCAAGCTAAAATAAGGAATATACTTGCTGAAAATCAAAGGACTCAACTTATTTCATTGCTGCCTTCTGACATTGTTCAGCTTATTGCTAGAGAACCAGAAGAGGATGCGAAAAAGTATGAATATGTAAAAACATTACTGTTACAACGATTTAAATTGAGTGCAAAAAAATTTCGACAACTATTTAATAAACACCAAAAATCTACTGAAAGTACTTGGTATGATTTCTACTATGAATTAAAGAATTATTTAGAAGGATGGCTTAACGGATTAAACATTAAAACTTTTGAACAGCTAAAAGATCTCACGCTGGTTGATCAAATAAAAAAGCGTACTTCTCCTGATTTCAAAGAACATTTTATGGATCAATGGACAACCATCATTTCACCTACTGAAATGGTTAAGAAAATTGAAGATTTTAAAGATGTAAGAAAAACAATAAAACCGAAATTTTCTGCCAATCAGACTGAGAATATTAACAAAGGATCATTTAAACCGCTTTATGATAATTTTGTGAAAAAAATAGAGCATCCGCCTCATTTTAAGCATTCCGATAGATGGGATGATCCAAAATACAAGAAAGATCATCAGCAAAGGAATCAGTTCCAAAACAAAAAACAAGAAAATTTATATGATAAAAGATATCGCCCACGTTGTTTCGAGTGTGGATCATATTGTTACGAATTTGATATTTAAAAAGCTAATGTTAGTTCAATTATAAATTAAATGGTTTTATTTCTCGCGCAGTGCAGCGCGTGACGAATATTAAAAGAAAGCTAAGCCAAAAAAAAAAATTAAAAATACAAGAGCGCGTGCGTTAAATAAATAAATATCTCTTTTTGATTTCGAGAAAGTGCTGGAAAATTCTAGCGCGTGATTTTAAAATCTTATAAAAGGAGGAAAACATCTCAGTTTGTAGTAGTTGTTTAGTTTGTTGTTGTTTAGAAAACTACTGTTGTTGATTGTAGCGAATTCGCGGATTAGCGTTCTTTAGCTGTTTTGAATTACGTTCTATTGGACATTTGAGTAGTTAAAAAGATAACTACTGTGAGATATTGTAATACTGCATGATAATTTGAGAAAATTTAAGCATTTTTGTTGTGATAATAATAAATTTTTGTTCATTTTTCATCGGACTTGTGCATTCATTTCATAACGAACCCGTACGCACGCAACAATTTTTGGTGTCAGAAGTGGGATTTGAATGCCAATAACAAGAGCGATGGAAGAACAATTCAGGCAAATGATGACTGCATTTGCTGCTTTCCAAGAAAAGATGGAAGGAGCCGTCAACTCCGTTAAGGAAGATATAAAAGCTGTACAAGAGAAAATGGATGCTGGTCAAATATCCGTTAAGGAAGAAATGAAATTGGGCCAGGAATGCGTTAAGGAAGAGATGAAATCCCTTAAAGACGAGATGAAAGCAGGTCAGGACGAAATGAAAAGAGAAATTACCTGCGTAATAGAAAATAAATTTGAGGCTATGGAAGGCAGATTAGACGCGGTTGAAACTAAAGTTGGACAAATAGAAGAAAGAGTTTCTTCGGTAAAAGAACAAGTAGAAGAAAGAATTTCTTCTGTAAAAGAACATATAGAAGAGAGAGTTTCTGCCGTCGAACAAAAAATTGATGATAGGGTTTCTGCTGCCGTCGCCAAAGAAGTTGACAGCCTAAAGAAGTGCATAGCGACGGTAGGAAACAATTCTGAAGGTTTTAAATTTTTATCGATGCCTGCTCGTTCCGTTCTGAAACTATCTACATATGATGGGAAGACCTCCTGGCAGGTGTATAGGACACAATTTTCTATCGTTGCGGATGCGAATGGATGGGATTCCCAAGCTAAGGCCTGTCATCTCGCCGCTTCTCTGAGAGCAGACGCAGCGGATATCCTGCAGACGCTTCCCGAAAATCAAAGGCTAGATTTCGAAGCTCTATCCGGCGCTTGGAGCTGCGCTTCGGCGAGAAATGTTTAAAAGACTACAGCAGGCTCCAATTAAAATCTCGTCAACAGAAGCTCACCGAAAACGCTTCAGGAGCTCGCCACGGATGTTGAAAGGCTGTCACATCACGCCTTTTCGGAGTGCCCGACAGAAACAAGGGAAATCCTGTCCCTGCAATATTTCATCGATGGCATCCGGGACCCTGAAATACAGAAAGCACTGCGAATGGCGGATGTTAAAGATCTGAAAAGCGCTTTAGTGTATGCCATGAAATTTGAGGCAGCCCAGCAAGCCACCCGTCGAGACCGCCATCCAGTCAGAGCTGCTCAAGTCCAGGAGCCAGGGGATCAAGTCACTGCTCGTCTAGACGATTTAACTAGACAACTGAACGCCTTGAGACAGAATATTGGTGACAAGAAACCGACCGTAAAGTGCTGGAACTGCGGTGCTGAAGGACACATACGACGAAACTGCAGAACACCCCAGGGCACGGATGCTAAGACCGCTCCTAACAAACAGCAGGGAAACTAATTAGTGGCCATCTCGCGGGGCGGAGGTTGCCAGATCATGAAAAGCCCCAGTTTAAAGCGCTTCAGATTTCTTTCTGCAGTGAGAGGCGGCAGTAATGGACTTTTCATAATAGGACATATTAATGGAGTTCCCTGCAATATGACGATAGATACAGGAGCCAACGTTACCATCATCCGAAAAGATTTGGCTCAACAACTGGGAAGCAAACTTATCTGGACGCCGCCCTGCGTTACCCTACAGACTGTGTCCGGTGAGAAGATCAACATCGATGGAAAAGTAAATGCTTAACATCACGTTTGGAAGTGCCGCTTACCATCACACGGCATATGTAGTAGCAGAGATCACTGATTCTTGCATACTCGGATTGGACTTTCTAAGGAAATACAATTTTTCCTTGGACTTTAAAAATAACGAATTGCATTCTACATCTGAGGACATAGCGTTATTTGGAGTTAATGATGAAGAAGTTAAATCTGTCCATAAAATCATAGCACAAGACAATATCACAATACCGGCAAGAA